ATTCTCTAGTTTTCAGACACAGGGGTCTTCACACCAGAACGTTCTGGCCGGCACCGGAAGTACCGGAAGTAGCCGGCCGGCTCTGATGCTAACAGAGTTATGCTAGCGGCTTCTCGTGTAAAGAGCTTCTCCAATATGCAGCTTGGCAGGGTGTCTGTGTCCAGAAACCTTCCACGGACTTTATATAACAGTAGTATGTGTTCACGGAGGTGCGCTATAAGTTTATTTTATTAACGAAGTTTCCGCATCGGCGAACACACTCGAAGCAGTTGCATAAAGTCACGGGAGCATGACAACGCATATATTCACAAACACACAGTCCCCCATTTCAACCCTGGTTTTAAGTCGAGGTGTAGCTCCTGTTTTGGCTGTTTGCAGTATGTTCTGTCTGCTCGCTCAGACCACTAATGTCCCCGTGACCACTTTGCAGCTCTCTGATTGGTCGCTGCACGAGACTTTTGTGCGTTTTGACGCTTAAATGCGCATCACCATTGACTTTGCATTGAAAGCCGACGCAACGCATGATCCGGTCTGAAAGCACCATTAGTAGCGCAGGTTTGTGCTGGCGTGACATTATATTTTAGATCGAGTTTTGGTGAAACAAGGAAGAGAACGTGTTTCGGGTCTCAGATTGTGACCAATCACAGCGGACCACAGACCCCCACTTTCTTGAGAAAAGCCACGGGTCTCTGGTTAGCACAGACAGCTGAGTTAGCACAACAAGCGGCAGAGGCTAACCTGAAACTTCCTGTGTCTTCGTTACTGCTTACACAGCAAGACAGCCATCAAAAAGAAAGTCTCGTCCTCTCTGCGCTTCCCGGTTCTGTCATTCTATGGTCACGCCATCCACGTTCAAAAGTGCCGTATTGTTCCATATTGTGAGACGCTAGCTCCGAAGCTAACAACAGCACAGAGCACAGGCTGCGCGGGAGAGGGAAGTGGGGACCGAAAGCTCCGTGGGTGCGGGGAGGGCGAGCAGAGAGAGCGAGGCCATCGCTCGCGTTTGAAAATAGGAGTGTGACGATATATCGATATAACGATATATCGTGATACTTTCTCACGTGATCAATTATCGATATGCATTTGCCAAGTATCAAATTAGTATCCATACTTAATATATGACTACATTACGCATCACCATTCCATTTGTCATGAAATAAAGTGTATTTTTTCACTCAACATTTTTATTTTATGTATGCCATAAATTGGCATATGGTATATTTCTGACCAGTAAATCGTGATATAATCGTTATTGTGATATAATCGTTATCGTGAGCTTTGTATCGCGTATCGTATCGTATCGTGAGCTACCCTGAGGTTCCCACCCCTATTTGAAAATGTCTCAAAATCAGTTAGTGCAGCTTTAATCAGAGACATTAGTCTGAAATCTTCAATACAAAACCCTCCATAACTTGTTTCAAACTGCTCGGTTCATAGTTCACCCAGAACTTCCCACTTTGAAATGTCCACATTACTTCCTTTTATAAAAACACACAATAATTGTTACTGGAACATTCGAAAGCAGAGCCTCAAACATGAACTCTTTCTACAAGAACGGGGTTAAAATAATCTTTGACCTTTAAAATGGTCAGTGGTAGAAATACTGCGGATGGTCAGAGTTTCATTGTAAAGAACGTACTTTTAGCCAAATGTACTCAGAACCTCCTGCATGGTGTTTATTCTGACTGGTTCCTCTCTGATGCAGGACATTTTTAACTGTTTGATTTTCTGATCTGCTGTCGGTGAACTAGAGATCAACAACTTTGTCAAGTCCTTCGAGACAAAGGACATTATTCTAATTTTCCAACTTTCACCAGGATTCTAAAGATTGTGTTTGGAGGCCACAATAACAAACATGTTGTCATTGTTCTCACAAGAGCTGGTCGGTGTTGTCAGGATTGCTAATTCCAAATCACAGTCTGTTCTATCCCGGAGCTCGGTGCTTGAAATAACCCCGAACCTTGAATGAGACCTTGTGAGAGCAGGAGGAGAGCGAGACCTTCAGACACACACCATCCTTGGAAATATATTTGTTTGTGTTTCGCTTTGTGGTGAAGCAGCTCTCTGCCTGAGGCCCCAGGGCGAAGGGCCCTTGAGTGGAGGCTGGTTTGATGCGAGTGAGAACACGTGTCTGCCCTGTTAGGCTTAAATGGCACAAGGCTTAACTCGGCCACATATCTGATTACCCGCGCAACTCATTTTCTCCTCTTAAATAAGGAGAAAATTGGAGCAGATGAATGAAATGTGCCGGTGGTGTCGCAGGAGCGAGGCAGCGCGGAGATTACGGATGCACTGGATCCTCGATCGGCTCCTTACACCAGTCACAGGATTAGCATTAGCATAATGGACTCGGAAACTGGTTTGGAGGGCAGACTATCAGCAGACAGGGAGGCCTTGCACAATATTACAGTGACTGGCATTAGCTCAGACCAGAGACCAGAGAGAGAGACCGGAGAGAGAGACCGGAGAGAGAGACCAGAGAGAGAGACCGGAGAGAGAGACCAGAGAGAGAGACCAGAGAGAGAGACCAGAGAGAGAGAGACCAGAGAGAGAGACCAGAGAGAGAGATCGAAGAGAGAGACCAGAGAGAGAGACCAGAGAGAGAGACCGGAGAGAGAGACCGGAGAGAGAGACCGGAGAGAGAGACCAGAGAGAGAGACCGGAGAGAGAGACCAGTGAGAGTCACCAGAGTGAGAGAGAGAGAGAGAGAGAGAGAGAGAGAGGGAGGGAGAGAGAGAGAGACTAGAGGGGGACCAGAGAGAGAGACCAGAGAGAAAGAGACCATAGAGAGAGTCCAGAGAGCAGACAGGGAGGCCACTATTGTGTTTTCAGACCATGCACAATATTACACAGACTAGCACTATAGCTCAACTGTACAGGGAGTAACGTAAGTAAGTAAGTAAAGTTTATTTGTATAGCGCTTTTCACAGACCAGGGTCACAAAGCGCTTCACACATTAAAATACATAGAATACACATACAAGTCAAATTTAAAAACAAAAACACAGAAACACACAGTTTACACAGTTCACTGAGGCCTATGAACAGTGAGGCGAGAAGGCCTGTCTAAACAAATGCGTCTTAAGTTGGGACTTAAAGTCACGTACAGGGGAATGTGACATCACAAAGTCACAAAACAGTTGAACTTTAACAAATATTCTTCAGAATGACCAGAGAGAGCTCTTTGGAAAACATGAACTAACAGTTCTGTGCAACAGTTTTTCATAAATGGATTTATGTAATTATAAAGAATAAAAAATGTATCCAAGCAAAAAAATATGAATAAAAGTGTTTATAGCCTCAGTTCTGGATCTACAGCCTGAGTCATCCCACTCCCCATGGATCAAAGGCCACTATTTGTTTATAATCATAATAATTCTATTTTATATTTTATATCTCAGAAGTGTATGCCGATTATTACTATGCTTTACTCTATTCTTTACCTCTCTTTTCTGACTGTTGCACCAAGCTAAAGCAATTTCCTAGTCTGTGACTTCCTGTCACTTACGTGGCAATAAAAATATGATAATTCTGAATGTTATGATTGCATTTCCTGTGTTAGAACTGTTTCATTCTCTGATCTGTTGTTGGTGAATCCACAACTTTATACAATCTTGCAAGACGATTGCTGTTGTGAATGTGGGCAATACGCAATGAAATAAAATGTGTTTATTATCATTTAGTTGTGGAATTGTGGAAATAAAACCCTGAAAGATCCCGTGTGTGATTGTTGTGGTAGACTTTGGCCACTAGGGGTCGCACTGGGTGTTTGCAGAAAGACCATCCTGGGGCTGAAGGTTAGGAAAAAAAATCTAAAAATACACTTTTTTTTCTCAATTTCATGTTCAGTTGGACTGCATTATACTGTATAAGGGTATTACAACATACAACACGCCTAAAAACACTGAGAAATACAAAAAAGTATTTTTTCTGCATGATATAAGTTACAAATGTTTAAATCAACCATAATGAATTGACTAGTTATGTATATATTTTATATCCAGAAATAACATCTTACATCTTACATCATACATCTCTATCAACTTTTTGAATTGGTTCAATTAATTATTTTAAGAACAAAAGTCTTTATTGTGAACAAAAGAAAAATGATGCAGTACTACTGCTATATCCTCATATCCCTATTGCTGTACTACTATTACTGCTATTAATGAAGACACTCAGATCATATTCAATCTGGTCTCTCTCTCTCTCTTGTCTATGTAGTGATTAGAAAGAGACCAGAGACTATATAGTCACTCTCTGGGCTCTCTCTAGTCCCTCACTGGTCTCTCTCTCTCTCTCTGGTCGTTCCCTCTGGTCTTTTTCTCTGGTATTTCTCTATGGTCTCTCTCTCTCTGGTCATTCATGATCAGGACACTTTAGCATTCTACAACATGTATGGACATTTTCTTCTGTGTGTGCTTTATATTCTTCATGTGTTTTAACTGTTGATTCTCTGACCTGTGTTGGTGATTTCAATGGTTTTGTTAAGTCCTCTGAGATGACTTCTGTTGTGACCTAGGGCTATACAAGAATAAATTGTATTGTATTGTATTGTATTCTCTCTGGTCTCTCTTTGATACCGCTTGCAGCTTTAATAGTAATACATCAATAGTGGGAACCAACTGAGTTATCTCCCACTGAACCATTACAAAAAGTCACAAAATTAAATAAATACATTCAAACTCATCAATCAAACAACAAAATGTAAATGTTGAAAAAACGTATACACTTGAATGTGTTTGTTTGTTTGCAGATACCCCGAAACGTAACTACGGCAACATCATACACACAATCTCCATGGCAACCTGCATCCCGTTTGGACCCACAAATTTACGCCATAAAAAGACCCATTGAAACAGACTTTAACTAGTTTAAACCACTTCTCTTGTTGTCACAAAATTGTATTGTGAGATGGAAAAAAAGGGGGGAGGTCTATTCCAAACTTGAGCCTGGTCCCCCAGACGCACCTGTCGTCCCAAGATCCTTTGCGTGTCCAATATGGAAGAACTGGCGGTGGAGGTCCGAGGCTCCAACGGGGCTTATTACAAGGTAAAAACACGCGTTAATACACCAGGCAGACCTAGACCAGCGGCATCAGGGTCTATCTCGGGAGATCACGGCAGAACCCCGGAGCTCGCCCGCCTGTCCTGTTTGCTGTTAGCCTGAAGTGGCCATGCTAGCCGGGGTTAGCTGCTGTGCTAACCTCATCGCCTGTCTATGCCTTTCCCCCTGGACTCTAACACCAGGACACACCGCACACAGATTTCACATCCTTAACTTTGACTTCCACGCACTGATAGTTTGTTGTTCTTATAACCTGGCAAAATCACGTGGTCTGGGTTAGCTTACATGCTAGTTGGCATCGATAAGTTTCACATTCAGTTATTCCTCACGTCGTTCATGGCTATAGTCCAAACATGGGCGTGTATAAAGCGAACATAAACACAGAGATATTACATTAGAATCGAATGGCTGGTAACTTATTCACTATTATTGCTTTCAACGAACTTGATTTTCTTGATTGAATTGTGAAGTAGTGATCAGTGTGTGTCTGTGAGATCTACTTTAGTTCTCCTCATCTTATACTGTTGTGATTGGAATAAAGCATTTATATATACTTTAAGAAGTAATTAACACGTAGGAGTTACGTTTACAGCACATGCCAAAAGAACATGCATTTAGGCAAGGCAAGATAGAAACAGTCACTCAAGGCATTAACATCACAAATAATCACAGTACATTAAAAAGAAAAAGTCACTCAGTTGTATGCACAGCTAAACAACACTGTTTTAACCTGGATTTAAACATTGTCAGAGAAGAGGCCTGTCTCACATTCAGAGAGATTGTTCCAGGCAAGATTTTAGCAGCATGAATCTGAAATGCAGCCTCTCCATGTTTAGTTCTGACTCTGGACACGAGCAGTAGTCCAGTCCCTGTGCTCCTCAGAGCCCGAGTTGGTTTATATGGCACTAACATGTCACTTATGTACTTTGTTGCGAGGCCATGAAGAGACTTGTACACAAGCAGAGCTGTTTTAAAGTATTTTCTCTGAGCCACAAGAAGCCAGTGCAGTGACCTGAGATCTAATTTGATCATATTCGAGTGGTTTGTTTCAGTCTTAAAGCTGTGTACAGGTTATTGTTTTTGTCATAATTCAAACACATGTTGGTCTGGGAGCTCTCAGTTTGATATGTGATTGCAGTGAGCTATTTTTGCTCCAGGATGTGTTTGCGGCTGTCGGTGTCACTCTCATACACTGATACCAAAGAAGACTTAGGCTATTTCTGTTACGGCTGTTGCCCCAAAGTCGGGTTGCCAGAGCTCATGAGAAGGAAAGGAAAAAGATTGAATGTAAAAAACACACTTTTATTTTGGATGTGTGGGTATCACTAAAATGTTATATTTTACTGTAAATTTCACACAGATAAAAACTGTGAAATTCAAATGTGTCAAAAATGTACAAATCTGAGTTAAAAACAGACACTAGTCTCAATATCAAGCTGACAGTTTCAAAAAAGTGAACAAATGTTACCTGCAGGTAACATTTGATAACTTCCACTAAATTATATTACCTAGTGAATGTCAACTCAAATGGTCAAAACAAAAACAGTGCATGGACGGGATTGTGCGTTAAACTAGCGCTCACTTTTGCTGTGTCTTCATTTCACTGTTTACTTGTTTAGCTTTGCATATTAGCTACTAGCAGCTAGATGCATTTTCAATCTGCTGGCGGTGGGCGCAGCAGCTGCACTTTTATTTTAACATTATTGACAGATGTATAATATGACAATATCTCCCTCAAGTCCCTCATCTTTCAGGTGAAACGGTAACAGAAACTTTTTTCCTTAACTTTTTGCAGACAGAATACCTGTCTTCCATCAGCTGTCCCTTGGTATTTAAATTAAATCCAAAATATGCCACTGGAATGACGGTGTCATCCACAAATGCCCTTCATGGTGTCAAGACTTTATAAATAAATATGACTTACTACTAAAATAAAATGTTTTGATCATGGGCACTATTTAATGTTGATCTGATTAAACAATAGAATGAGATGGGTTCAGATAATTAGTTACTTTTAATTATTATAAGGTTACTAGGTCCGGTCTCTTATTTGTTTTTATATTGAGTTTTCTTCTTCTCAGGGTTTTGTCAAAGACCTCCACGATGACTCCATCAGCGTCGCCTTCGAGAACAAGTGAGTGATAATAACCTGTGGAGCTCTCATTAGAGTTCATATTATTATTATCATAATGAGTTTTTCCAGCTCTTTTCTTGACACTCAAAGTCACTTCACAGCATTATTCATAGCTAAATCTGCCGTGGGGACACACTATAAGTAAGGCATCAGCCCCTCCCACGACCACCAATCATTCACACACACACACACACACACAAAACTCATTCTAATGTGGGTAAAGTGTCTTGCCTAAGGACACAGCAACAGTTTGGCTCTTTACAGTTGCAACCGCTCTACTGTGGCACCTGGCGTTCCTAGAGGTCTCCCATCACAGTACTAATCAGGCTTTGCCCTGCTTAGCTTCAGAGGTTTCCCATCACAGTGCTTACAAGGCCGTTAAACCCAGGCCTGGAAATAGAGTAAATATCTCTATCTTCATGGTGATCGCAGTCGTGGACGGGGTGTCATGTCTGTGGCCCTCTGCTTTGCTGACACAACATGGGCCAATTGCTGAGTTGAAACCACATGACCAAAAGGGGGCGTGACAAGGGGCCGTTGGACAGGAAGTATATTTCTCCTATTAGATAGGAGGGCCAATGTGGGAAAACCATAGACTGTACGCCTATCTCCGCCGTTCAAACTAATGGGCCAAAAATTCTGCTCTACTGGAGCAATCCAAAATGGCTGTGAGTGGTCCCGTCCACAAGAAAATTGTGAAAAAACGCATCTGCGCATGCGTCAGCCGGCGCGAGCTCCATTCATTTCAACGAGTGACTTCAAAAATTCACAGTGACTAAACCAGAGTGGTCCAAAAAATTCCCTCCCCTCAGCATTGATACACATGTGGAACGGAGCTTTGGGCCAAGAGCCAACTTTTGGACCATCCTGTAAAGATGTTTTCGAGAGGTAAGAAGATGCTATACAGAATGTTAGCATTGGCTGATTCTTATACCGGGTCCACCCCCATCGGCCCGGGCTGGTATTGCAAGCATGTCAGCGCACCTCATTTTGGCCACTTTTGAGCCGGAACCTGCCCCCACTGGGGAAAACGCACACAAGAGCTTTCCACGGCTTAGTACCACTCTTATTTTGAGTGAAAACTATTTTCAATGCAGCGTGTGCGGTGTACAGTTTTCAACAATGAGGAGGATTAAGCAGCTGTTACAGTGACGACAGTGGAGTCACTCTGGGATCAACAGAACCACATCCAAGATGACTGTTCGGATCAATAATACAATAAATAGGGCACAAATGTAACTTTTAATTTACAGCTCAACGTTTGTTGAGCTGTAAATAATAAAAAAGCTCGGACTTAAGCTTCAGGGGGAAGCTCCGCTGCGTTAAGCTAACAGCGGGGGCTGCAACGAACGCAGCCGTCCTTGGGACACAGAGGTCCTCAGAGTCCCAGACCCTGGTCCTCAGAGTCCCAGACCCTGGTCCTCAGTCTCTGAACAATCACTCTTATAACACAATGGCTAGATTCTATGTGAGAAGATATCTACTTTCTGTCCCTCGGAGGACATTTGCGCCGCTGCATGACACATTTTCCAGCCCCCATGGCCATTTTCAAAAGCCCCATAGACAGCTTATAGTGATTGTCTGGAGTTTTGTCAGAAAAAAGAGAGAGGGGTACATTATTTGAAAGAAACGACCCAAGTTCCCTCCCCCTTCCTTTCTGATTGGTCAACGCCTACGTTTCCGTAACAATCAATCAACACATTTAAATGTTAATCGGAGAACGCATACATTATTAATACACATGCAAGGAAGTTTTCAGAATGGTCTGTTAACGTTTTCATGACAAAATAATGATTTAATGCACAAAAAAGCAATCGCGGCAAACCTGGAAGTAGCTATTATTATTAATTGAACATTATAGGACACATCTGCAGAGGATCTGATTATGGATATAGGTTCAGTATATAAATGGGTAACTCAGCGCGGATGTTCAGAATTCTTTTGTAGTTCCAGAGCCTAATGGAGGCTCAAGCTTGATTTGGAGGCTCCGCAAAAACAAACAACTGAGCATGCGCGCAGCTACAAGCATAATTGCCAATGATTGACAGCCCTTGGCATGACTTGATTGGTTAAAGTGGACGGCATCGTGGATTTTGAGCTATAGCTAAGAGAAGGGGAAGCGGGACTTACCCGTAATATTAGAATTCATAGTGACGACAGTGGAGTCACTCTGGGATCAACAGAACCACATCCCGAAATATTAGAATTCATAAAATGACTTTTATATCAATATTTAAGGCCCGGAGGTCAATCTAATACAATTCTTAAAATTTGTAATTCATTTAGAGTTCCGAACTATCACTTTAAGTGGTGGCACATTAGTTTGCACGGCGGAGATAGGCGTGACTACGTCCATTAATATTTACTCTCTACGGATGCAAACCAGCAAAAACAATCATAAACATACAGAATCATCCAGCCAACTTCCGCTCCATCACATATCAGTCATTGTGGACTCAGAACTCTGAATCCAGTAAGAAGTCTCAAAGCACGGGTCATCTGCCTCTGAACATGTCGCCTAAAGCCTCTATTACCTTTGATCTCTGATCATAATAGTTCAATTTCATATATGAACCTTTGACCTCTGACCTCTGTATTTTCTGGTGCAGTTGGCAGCCAGAGCGGCAGGTTCCCTTCAGTGACGTCCGCCTGCCTCCTCCTGCTGACGCCAACAAGGATATTAAGGAGGGAGACGATGTGGAGGTGGGTTCTGTTTTTGAAGCTGTTCTAGAACATGGCTGACCTTCCTCTGACCTCTGACGCTCCCCTGTTGTAGATCTTCTCCAGAGCCAATGACCAGGAGCCGTGCGGCTGGTGGCTCGCCAAGGTCCGCATGATGAAGGGAGAGGTCAGAAACACTTTTATTAACTTATTTATTTTTCTGTTTACGTCCTTTCAGCTCCCTGTTACTTCCTCTGCTGCCACCAGAGAGAGCAGTGTCTGCAGTCAGAGCTCTCTGTAACATCCTCTAGGGACAGCAATTCAACTATCTCTAAAAGAATGGGTAGTAATGTGAAGTGAAGGCTGTAAACGCTAAGAAATTTGTACAAGACGAAAAGCTGGACGGTAGTTTTCTTTATGTATCTGAATACATGTTCCACTTAGCAACAACTCTTACTGTGCTCTTCCGGTTTTGCTCTTTCCACTTACTGTTTTGCACTTCCTGTTTCCACGTCCTGAATCCTGCCACATTGAAGACCTCTGTAAAAAAAGGATAATTGTGTCTCTTTCTGCAGTTCTTCGTGATTGAGTACGCTGCCTGTGACGCCACGTACAACGAGATCGTGACCTTCGAGCGTCTACGGCCCGTCAACCCCAACGCTTCCCTCGCCAAGAACCACCTCTACAAGTGCAGGGTCCTAGTGCCCCAAGACCTGGTGCAAGCGTACGTATGTCCAAGGATAAAGAACCACCTCCACTAGTGCAGGGTTCTAGTGCCCCAGGACCTGGTGCAAGCGTACTTATGTCTGAGGTTAAAGCTGAGGGACATAACTTTAACCGCTAAATACGGAACTATAGCCCTACTATACTTCTCTAATGCAGGGGTTCCCAAAGTTTTTAGCCCGCAACCCCATTGATATATGCACAGCTGCTCCGCCGGCCTCACCTCTGAAACATGTGACTTTTCTTCCCCTCCGGGTTTTTTGGTTGTGGATTTTATAATAGGTATTATTTGTTTGTAGCCCCTAAACACCTTTTAGCTTTAGCAAACAAGGGCAGGACATGTTTTGTCGCTGCGCGTGACGTAAGCAACATAGCTTGATATTGATTGACGCTGTCGTAATCTTGTGATGTCTGGGACAAAATAACAATTTTGATTAAAAGATAGAATTTTTTTAGGGCTGTCAAAATGATCGCGTTAACGCACGTTAATTAATTGTTTTCATTAATCGCGCTAAAAAAATTAAGGCATTTGACGCATGCCCATGCGTCCCATAAAAACACTCAGAATGCCGCGGACACATGCGCGTGTGTAAGATGGGGACAGAGCAGGTAGGCCCTCTGGGAATTCAAGTTTTGAAAGAATACACGCGTGAACGCGAAGCACTTGTTGTTTCCTGTATGAACTCTGCATGAGGAGCTGTGGGCGCGACAGCGCTCTGGACAGCAGGTCCCACTTCCAGCGGCTGTGATCACGGCGAGCGGCGCTGCATAATGGGATCATATCCAAGACCACGCACAGAACTATTCTCTAGTGTGCGTACATGTCTTTGCGTAACCGATGCACACAATATGTACAGCGCTGAAGCTGGACTGTGGAGCCTCAGTCTCCTCCGTGTCTTCTCCCGAAGCGCACTCGCTAAATTAAAGCTGAGGTACCTAATTTTCCTTTCGACTATCAGTTCATGTTAGTTGTGCCAAAAAAAGTATGGTGTGAGCAAATCAAACAGATTGAATGACATTCTGCATTTCAGACTATTTTGAAATGTCCCTCATCTGTAACAAAGAATAGTTTTGGTCTGAGTCTAAACAGAAAGACAGAATGTTAATAATGTTAATTCCATTTTATATGGATTTATTGTTATAACAAACAAATACAGTACATATGTTCACTAAGCTGTCATTTATCTTTCCATTCAAACAACAATTTACAGAAAAATATGGCATAATTTTGCCAATAGTTTGAAATGTGATTAATTACGATTAATTCATTTTTAAGCTGTAATTAACTCGATAAAAAAAAATTATCGTTTGACAGCCCTAATATTTTTATTAGACTCTTCTCCAAACACAATAAAACATGTATTATATTTAATATTGAGAAATATTTAACGGTTATAAACTTAAGAAAAACTTTTTTTCTTTCTATGGAAATCATCTTGCAACCACCCGGGTTGCCCCCCCTTTGGAACCACTGCTCTGTTCTATCCTAAAAACATGTGTTCATGTGTTGGTGTCAGTATTGTGACTTATTTGATTCCTGTGTGTGTCTGTCTGTATGTGTGTCTGTGTGTGTGTTTTTTACAGGTGTCAGGTTGAAAACGCTCACAGAGAGTTCAAGAAAGCGGTGGGCGCCTGTCACATCTCCTTCAGCCCCGAGACCTGCCAGCTGCTCATCGTGGTGTGACACTTCATTCTATTCACAGACTATATACAATGCTAACCCACTAGCTCAATGCTAACACGTTTGTACTATCAAAATGATGATTATTAAATTATTTGAATTATATTAAGAATATTTATAACTATAAGGAAAGTAAGGTCTTTAAAAAGTATATTATGTTTGTAATGAGGCCGACCTCCTTTACAATTGGATATAGTTTACACTAATATCAACTCATTCCCTGCCCAGTAGGAATGCGCCGATACTGGTATCAGATCGATACCATAGGGTTGCACTCGTACTCATACCATAGGATAGAGCTGGGCAATAAAACGATAACGATATATATTGCGATAGACACATGTTCGATATCAATAGAAAACAGGGTCGATAGAATGTTCGATAGTTTAACTTCGCACCATGCGTAGCGTCCATGGATCTATGGATCGTGTTTCAATGCCGTGTCAATAGTTATGCATGTGCGGCGTGTTAGAGGCAGTGGACACAGAGACCTGAAGCATTTGGCGAAAGCAATAGATGAACTTTTTCTTCGGGAAGCACAGCCACACGGAGCCGTCACGGGGACACAAGACACTCGAAAACAGCCAAAACAGGAGCTTAACCAGGACTAAACCAGGATTAAACCAGGACCAACAATGGGGGACACTGCTTGTGAACATATTCCTCTAGCCTCACTCCCCCGTGACTGTAAACAAGGCTGCTAACGTGTGTTAGCCGACACGACAAATGTATTTATTTAGGTTTAAAAAAACAATCAATATATATATAGTTTTCGACCGATATGAATTACTTGTATTGTGAGATGAAAGTTTGGAGGGACGCGCCGGGTCTTGGTAGATTTGCAGTGGTCTGATACTCCTTCCATTTCAATATAATTGCTTGCACAGTGCTCTTGAGATGTTTAAAGCTTGGGAAATCTTTTTGTATCCAAATCCGGCTTTAAACTTCTCCACAAACGTATCTCGGACCTGCTGGTGTGTTCCTTTGTCTTCATGGTTCTCTCTGCGCTTTAAACAGAACCCTGAGACTATCAAAGAGCAGGTGCATTTATACGGAGACTTGATTACACACAGGTGCATTCTATTTATCTTCATCAGTCATTTAGGACAACATTGGATCATTCAAAGATCCTCACTGAACTTTGGAGTGAGTTTGCTGCACTGAAAGTAAAGGGGTCCGCCGAATATATTGCACGCCCCACTTTTCAGTTTTTTATTTGTTAAAAAAGTTTAAATTATCCAATAATTTTCGTTTCCACTTCACGATTGTGTCCCAATTGTTGTTGATTCATGTGACAAAAAAATAAAAATTTTATATCTTTATGTGTGAAGCCTAGGAATTGTGGCTAGAAATGTTGAAAGGTTCTAAGGGCAGGGCCGAATACTTTCGCTAATTATTTGATTTTGTTCTCCCTCAGCAGGCTTGCTTATCTGTCTTTTCTTTTACTGACGAAGACAGTATACAAACTTTGCTTTCTGCAGTTCTGTTCTCATAGTAGTGATGGAAAATTATCAGTTTTTCTGCACTGAAAGTATGGGGCCGAATAATATGCATGCCCCACCTTTCCGTTTTTTATTTGTTTAAAAAGTTTAAATTATCCGATAAATTTTGTTCCACTTCACAAGATTGTTGTTTGAAGCCTGAAATGTGGCGAAATGTTGAAAGGGTTCAAGGGGGCCAAATACTTCTGACACTGTATGTCATTTTGTGCGGCAGGCTGCGGTTGGGTGCTTGTTCTTTGCACTATGATCTAACTTTTTTTGTCCAAACTATGTCGTAACTGTGCCCAAAACGGACGGCTGCATTTGCAGGTGATTGATGTTGATGCGTGGAAATCCATGAAATATAGAATTTTAATAAAAGATTTAGTTGTAGTTTTTTTCAGTTAAAATAAACTGCCAACATGTCTAGAGAAGACAAACTTTCATCTTAAATAAGTAGTTCGACTGGGCCAACAAAGTTATGAAGTATGATTTGCCTTTACATCTCTTTTTAAGAACAGAGACCTGAGCACAGGGTCTAACAATGAGAGGACTGTGTTTCCACTCGACTCGAGTACAGCCTTTTGAACTATGTGCTGATGTTTACAGGTTGTGGTTGTGGGGGGGCTTGTTTTAAATATACCCCAAAAGGTGTAAGTTTCTAATAAACACCACCCAAAACCCCCACACCCCCTTTATACTTTTTTGGATTTAAAAAAAAAAAAAGGGGCATTCTCCAAGACTGCTATTCATAATTTCACTATTTTGTGAGTTCATGATGTCCAAAATAATTGGTTAATGAGCACTGTTACCAATTTAGCTATCAGGATGTGGTTAGTAAGCTTGCACTCTGCAGTGCCGCAGGTCTGTCGAATCTAGGTAAACGACACACACATGAGATGAACAGACGAGCCCCACCTGCCTAAATCGTACAAGTTGGCAGCTTCCCATATTCTTCAATCAGGCCAGGTCCAAAATAGAAGAAAGATTTGAGGCCATGATGCTATTAATGATGTTATTCATGAGAAAAAAACTGCCTGTGGATGGATGAGTGCAGACCCCCAAGTGTATCAAGGGCAGGCAGTCCAAGAACTTTTATCTAGAATGCTACCAACCGTACACTTTTTTAACAGGAGTAGTGGTCCCTCATACACATGTAAAGGTTCACATTCTTTGAATGTATGGACCTACAATTTTGTTTTGCATATTACAACCAAAAAGGGGCGTCAGTTAGCTCAGTTGGTAGGAGCATTGGCCTTTTGGGCTGAAGGTCGTGGGTTCAAGCCACCATATGACTACTTCAGGACTCACACCAATGATGCTGTCATTGTACCTCCTTGGGCATGTACTTAACCCCACTTTGCCTGAAGCTCCTACTGAAAGATTTCAGTCCTGTGGACTCACCCACCCTTTTTGCAGGAAGATCAGTGAGGGGCTGTGCTAAGTGTACTGGGTGCAGCTCTTGGACTGCCACCCCCGACCCTGAAATGGATTAAGGGGAAGAAAATGGAATGGATGGATGGATATTTCAACAAAGAACTCCATATATGGATCTTTTTCACTGCAATTTATGGCTATGCCTAAAAGAAAATATTATATGGAATCATATTGGTTCTTCTGTATCTGCTATAACAGCGTGGATTTGACAGTAAATGGAAAGAGCGTGAGATACAAACACAGGAATGTATCAAAACCTTTGAAGAAACTTTACTTTGGACTCAGTGCCCTTTTTTTAGTGGCCAATTCTTTCCTGCAAATCAATTAAAAAACATCAGCTTAGTTCCACAATTATCCTGTTAAAGCAAGGGCAGCTTTAACTTTCTGCACAAATAGCTGTTCCTAATATGCTAGCTTAAGTATAACTTTTATTGTGTTTTCGAGCAATGGCTAACTAGTAAGGGCTCACTTTTATTCTTGGGCACATCATAATTTAGGGGAATTTCCCTTGTTTTGTGGTTACACTTTGGTTTCTAGGTTTAAAATAAACCTGGTTAAAAGCAAATTGAGATTAATATTCTTCGATAACAGAGGTGGCAGCGTGTCTCCACAGCTGCAGTGTTACACAATTTGCAGAATTAACAGGAAATTTAATGGGAATAAACTGAGAATTTTCTTAAATCAAAATTGGACCTTTTTAGGGAACTTAAATTTAGTATAGGAATTGATAATTTAGCATAATCTTGACTAATACAAGAAATAACAAATCCCCTTCAAATACACTTCAAATATCCATTTCATTCCTCAATCTCATGAGTAGTAACTGCTTACATTGCCTGGCTTAGACCACGCCCCTACTGGGCACTGTGGTGTTTCCTTTATTATGTTTCTAAGGATTTCTAGAAGACTGGACCACACTTTTGAGCCCATGCACATTAAGCACACCATTTGAGGCCTTTGGACTTCAACAAAGATTTATTTTGATTATGAGTATTGGAATATTTATTTATTTTGTGTAATTTTTATAGTGGTTCATATGTAAACTAATAACAAAATGTGTCCTTTTTATGATATTTACCTCCACCATTGTTTTTTGTAAGTGTTTTACATAGGTTAGAGATCTAATGTCCATTAGAGCAGAGGTCTTTTCATGTCAAGCGCCAAAGGGAACAAAAAGAATGAAAGAATAGTGTTGTTGTTTCTATGCTAGTGATATAGTAGCATTCACTGCCTCACAAGTTTGAAGAAGGAAAAACCATGGAGGAACACAGTTTATGTAATAAGAAGACCAAAAAACAATCTTAAAAAATTAAATTATGCAAAAGTCTGTCGTCGTAGGAGCAAAGTGTCAACTTGCCAAACCACACACACAAAAGGCAGAGTTAAAAACAATGGACAAGAAGTCACATTGTGTAGTTTGTACACAACGACTCACGTGGAACAAAAAGTAACTTCTTTCACAATTTGCACAGTGTTTTAGGGTCTCAGCGCACAAGCGTCCTGTTCTTCCAGCACTCACGACAAGGGCGCATTATTTTCAACTGTGTATGGACCACAGTGGATCTGTGCTGGTTATGTCTCTAAATAGAAAAAGTCAGATGTCTCTGTCTGTGACCATGAGCTACAATGTCCACGGAGTGCGGGAGAAGCGGCCGACCAGAAGTCTGAAGAAAAAAAAAAAACCTGCGTGTGATCCCAGAACAGGGGCTCAGACCAAATGCATCCTGCAACACCGTGAACTTGCGACTCGGTTTTACCACGGACTTGCGAGTGGTGTCTCACGAGCACCTCACCTGCTGCAGGGGCGGCACGGTGGCTGAGGGGTTAAAGCACTCTCGCCTCTCAGCAAGAAGGTCCTGGGTTCGAATCAGTTCGGTCCCGGGGCCTTTTGAGTGAGTTTGCATGTTCTCCCTGTGTCTGCGTAGGTGCCTCCGGGCACTCCTGTTTCCCCTACCACTAAATATTTGTACAATAGGCCTGGATGCGCCTCTGTACTGGTGCCCCATCTCTGTGTGGAGTATGAGAAATAGTTTTGTGAGTAAAAAGTTCATTCTCCCATAAGGCAGCTCCGCAGTGTCTCTGTGTCCAGAGACCTACCAGAGACTTATATAACAGGTAGTATTTGTTCACGGATCCCTCCCCCCCCCTGTGCAATTGTGCATTAGAGCCACACACGCGTATTTGTCATTGTGGTGCTCACGCATCATTGGATATTGTCCAACTGCTTCTAACCGGAATGACCATACGATACCTATATATAGGCGAGCTCCGCTAATCTCTACCGCTCCCATTTGAATAGGCGCCGCATCATGGATCACCCCCGGGGCTAGGTGCGTTCCTGAGAGGCTGTGACTCAGCAGAGGACTTTTTCTCATTCCGCTCATTAATCCTTGTCATACTCGAGTGTTTCTGCAGAGAAGTGGCTTTGCATAAAGTAAATCCTGAAACAAAGCTGTTCCAGAGCAGATCCAGAGCTGTAGGTTGGAGACTCTGACATTTGGACAGTTTTATATTTTTCCAACCTATCTTTAAAAAGATGTTTCTTTCCCATAAACTTGACTCAGCAGCTGCAAAATACTTAACGAGAATTCTAGAACCAGAACGCAACCAAAAATGGAGCCACACTCATGGTGTGAGTGTTGGTCCTTGAGATCTGTTCCTCGCGAACAAACTCCCATACGTTTAAAGCCACAGGTAAATATTGACTTTATAAAAGCTGGAAATAAACTTTACAGCTGTGATGGGAAGTAAATCTCAACAAAAATAGTAATATTGCATGTCCTAGCCATGGTAAAACATTTTTATTTATCTCTCCGTCTCCCCCTCGCGCGCGCTCTCCACCCCTCTTCTCGCTCCCCCCTAGCTCGCCCCTCCCCTCTCTGCTCTCCCCCCGTCTCTCGCGCCCAACTCTCTCTCGTCCCCACCTCTCTCTCCTCCCAGAGCTCTCGCCCCCCTCGCTCGTGCCCCCCTCTCTCTCTCCACCCTCTCTCTCTCCCCCCTCGCTCTCTCGCGCCCTCTCTCCTCTCTCTCTCTCCCTCTCTCGTCTCTCTCCGCTCTCCGCCTCATCTCCTCTATCTCCTCGCTCTCGCTCCCCCTCACTCTCTCCGTCCCGCCCTCTCTCCTCTATCCCCTCGCTCTCTCTCTTCCCACACTCTCGCTCTCTCCCCCACCCCCTAGGAAACACCCCACCCCACCCCTCTAAAAAAAAACACCCCTTCCCCCCCAACTCCCACCACCCGCACATGCACCTCCCCACGCACCCAATATCGACGCGCATTGATCAACCAGTGTCATGCGCGATGCCAGTCAAACGAGTTCTCTCCAAATCAAACATGAAAGTATTTTCATTCCTTTATTAGTAGATCAATAAAACACAGACACATCAACATTCCACAAGGACACCATACATAAAGTATATAAATCAAAGCATTTAAAGGGTCAAAAAATGTATTTATTGTTATTTGTCTCTTGCGTATCAATTCTGATTAAAATTATAACGTTCAAGACAGAAATATTGCAACGTAATATTAGGTTAACGGCAAAACTAAACCCTCATATCAAATATCGCTCTCATTTCCAATACCCAGGCAGCCTTCGAGAGACCCGAGAGAGCGAGACCAGAAGGAGCGAGATGCACTCTCTGAGAGAGACCAGAGGAGCGACTAGATCCTATGTGGCTCGTCATCCTGGGTTCCTCTTAAACATAAAGGTGACAACATATGCACATTTTACAAAACCTAAACCAAGCGGAAATACATATAGGAACTCCAGATAATAGTCTCCCTACCGCAACCCCTCATTCCCGACTGCCTTGATACCCACCACACTAGACCAAGCCTCCTGGCGAGTGGCTCTGACCTCAGTGATGTAAGCGATCAGCAGATAAAAGCATCTGTGGATAAGGGCTCAGATTAAGAGGCATATTCGTGCAACATCTACTTTATTTGACCTTTTTTTCTCCTCCCATGTATTGGCATTTGTTCCCGAGACCAACACAGACTGAATATCTCATGTGAGTTTTTTTGATTGTCTAATATCAGCTTCTCAATCTCTGCTCTTGCTTATTTTCATTTTTAACAGTTTTGTAGAAACACAGAAGAAATTAACTTGAAATGTCTAAATAAAGGCTTTGGTTTCATGTTTTCAGTCAGTTTTTCTCAAAATAATGTTGGTGATCATGGAATTGATTTGGGTCCTCTCTCATGGTGCTCTTTCTCTGATCTCGGACTCGTCCCGAGCACTCTTGGTCTCTTTCTCTCCCTGGACTCTTTCACTCTCTGCTGTCCTCTCTGGTCCCTCTTCTGGTCCCACTCTTTGGGTGCTGGTCCTCGCCTCTCTGATCTCTTTCAGCTGGTCTCTCTCTGCTGGTCTCTCCTTTCTGGTCCTCTTCTCTCTGGTACTCTCGTCCTGCTGCGCTCTCAGCACACTCTCCATCAGCCTGTCTCTCTTTCCTCTGGTCCTAGTGCTCTAGGGTCTGTCTCTGTCTGTCTCTCTCACTCTCTTCTCTCTTAGTAACTTGTAACGTACGGGCTGCCACTGGCTTTGCTTTTTGTTTTGTTTCCCCGCCTTCTGTACCTTGCGCCGTCTCCCGCTTTCCCCCGCGGGCACCGGAGGAAATATGTTCAGATGGCGTGCCCGTAGGGTAGAAAGCCTAGGAGCAGCACACAGACACGCGACCAGGACATATAATACGCCAGGTCCATAAATACAATATTTACAATCGAAAAGTTCCCGCTGATGTCCTGCTCAACCATCGGCATGTATCTGATGAGTACCGCAGCCTTAATGCGGCTAAAACACACACCAGGCTCCGTTTCGCTGATGATGGAACAACGTGTAATGTCAAAGGCAAAGATCCTGTTTTTTTGGGAGTGTATCTCCATGTTGTGAGATAGATGTTTTGGACAGTAAGTGCCAGCCCGCCCCAGTTCTTGTGTTGCACGGCTTTTTGTTTTGGGTTGTCACCGTTCCTTTGTTCGTACGACTGTTGGCCAACGGAGACGCGTCCAACCCAGTTCGGGAGACATTTATTATACCCCTTCGCAGCAGAAACGAGGAACTAAATCTTGTGATGATTGCGTATGAGATTTGAATTTTGCATAAGGCCTCCAGGGAGCGGGCGGCTTGCTGCTCACTCTGAAACCGTGTTGGCAAATGTTTCATGGATATATCATCTAGACCTGGATTCATTAATGCCCTTTTGATATGCATTATCTCCTGGTCTCTCTTTATGGTTTTTCTCTATGGTCTGCTCTCTCGGCTCCATGGTCTCTTTCTTTCTGGTCTCTCTATGGTCTCTCTTTGGTCTCTCTCTCCATGGTCTTTCACTATGGTCTCCCTCTGGTCTCGTGCTCAGATCTCATGTTTTTGAAAAGGGTTTAAATCTTAGAGTTGGTGAATCTTTGCAAATGCTCCATGTTTTTCTTTGTTTTAGTTTGTTCAGAAAGTCGAGAGGGGAAGTGCCCAGTGTGTCTGATGACCTGGGAGGATGTGTCACTCTCGCACCTCCCACTACGCCAGCCAACAATCCAAAGTCTCAGGTGAAAGTAATAAAAATACTTATTTATTCAAATGTATGACACGCAAGGCAAGTTTTTTGTACAGCACAGTTCATACCACAAGGCAAATCAAATCACACTCAAACATTCACATCATAAATAATCACAGTGCATTAAAAAGATTGAAGATACAATCCTTCGATTGTTGCAGAGAAACAGAACGGTTTTTAACCTGGATTTGAACATTGTCAGAGAAGAAGCCTGTCTCACATTTTCAGGAATCTGAAACGCTGCCTCTCCATGTTTGGGCAGCAACAGGAGGCCAGTCTCTGTGCTCCTCAGAGACACAAACGGAGCTCCTTAAAGCCTAGCGTACATCGACAGAGAAACTGGGGACAACTAGTTGCAAGGCGGCTTTTGGCAACTGAGAGGAGATGGTGGGAGATGATCAGTTGCCAAAATCGGTCGATGTGAGCGCTCTTACAACTGGAGATGATCAGTCGGTCTCCAGTTTCAGTCAGTTGCCCGTGTTCTACTTTTCGGCAACTAGTTGTCCTCAGTTTTTGAGACATGACCCGATGTGCGCGCTCCATGCGCCGCTCCGACAACCTGTGTGTATTGCGTGTGTTGCGAGCCCGCAACAGTTTATGTCAGAAAACACACTGTAGTTGAGGCCAGTTGCTGTCGATGTACGCGCTGTTATTCCCGAGACTGGTCTGCTACTGGGAGTTGCCCGTTTTCGTCAGATTGTCGATGTGTGCGGGGCAGCAACTCAGCACATTTGGATTGAGGCCGACATCAACGCGGAACAAACTGGCGGGTCTTAGTGTCTGAAATGGGAGATTGTTCTAAGCTTCTCTCTGCAGTAATGCATGGAGCAACGGAAATGTGTTTAAAGCAAAGTGAATCATCGAGTTTCCACTTCTGTGGGTTCAGATGACTGTAACTGTAACTAATTGTAATGAGAGCTTTTTGTGGTGAGAGCAGACTACGAGATTCCTCTCCTGCATTTTGTCTTTTGTTTTGCATTTGGGACTCTGAGGAGCACAGGGACTGGCCTCCTGCTGGGACTCTTCAGGAGCACAGGGACTGGCCTCCTGCTGGGACTCTTCAGGAGCACAGGGACTGGCCTTCTGCTGGGACTCTTCAGGAGCACAGGGACTGGCCTTCTGCTGGGACTCTGAGGGGAATTTATTCTCAATATCTTTCATTAACCTGAATCCTTCTGTAAGGACAAATTACTACTAATGTAGTATTTATGGATATGAAGTTGGGTACCCCAGCTTTAAGAAACACATGAGATCATGGGATAGACGGGTTTTTTCTGCCACAGGGCTCAGAGTCACAGCATTGATTGCATCATCATTCCCACAACGCACAAAGACACTCCTTATGTGTTAAAGTGCAACAGCTTCAGAGAAATACTGCAATAACGATAGTATTCAAACTGCTTTTTGCCACTGCCACGATTTCCACTTAAGCGGATGTTGATATTCTGTATCACAGAAAAGCCAGAGCTGAGTCAAAACTTGAGAATCAAGTAACTTTTATGACTAATGGCTAAACGGCCAAAACGTTTTATTGCATTACAACTCACTGCTCCCTGGTTTATGACAGGGGTGATGTGTTCTAAAAAGGAGGGAGGCCAGAGAGGGAGGCCAGAGAGGGAGGCCAGAGAGGGAGGCCAGAGAGGGAGGCCACAGAGGGAGGCCACAGAGGGAGGCCACAGAGGGAGGCCACAGAGGGAGGCCACAGAGATATTTATTTCATATGGACGCATCATTTGACGGACCAGATTTACTGCCTTTAGCCTACGTATGTCCTGTTCATATCTGGACCAGCAGGAGACCCAGACTTCCTCCTCTGTGTTGCTGTTTGTGAAGCCTGTTTGCCTTTTTGTCCCTTCCAGGCTACAGTACGGGCCACTCTCGCTCCTCCAGCATCACGGAGCTCGGCCACCGCAGGAACCACTCGATTGGAAGCACGTCCACCGGGATCGGCAGCCTCCCGGAGCCGAGCGAGGACCGAGAGACCAGGACCTGCCCAGTTCTCCCTGAGCACCCGGCCTCACCCAGCAGCGCGGCCAGCTCCTCCCCCATCCACACCGCCTCGTCCTGCGAGCGCCTCAACAGGTCAGACCACACACACAGGTAGGTCTCGGAGCGACGAGTGGCTGCAGGTCTTCAGTCCAACCCAACAGGAGCACAGCAGACTCTACCCATTTCCTCAAGAGAGTCCAATCAGATTCAAAACCACACTGGAATACATGTTCAGAAGTACCCAGTGTGTTCCACATAGAGAGACAGCCCAGAGAGAGAGACCAGAGAGAGAGAGACCAGAGAGAGAGAGACCAGAGAGAGAGAGACCAGAGAGAGAGAGACCAGAGAGAGAGAGACCAGAGAGAGAGAGACCAGAGAGAGAGAGACCAGAGAGAGAGAGACCGGAGAGAGAGAGACCGGAGAGAGAGAGACCAGAGAGAGAGAGACCAGAGAGAGAGAGACCAGAGAGAGAGAGACCAGAGAGAGGGAGACCAGAGAGAGAGAGACCAGAGAGAGAGAGACCGGAGAGAGAGAGACCGGAGAGAGAGAGACCAGAGAGAGAGAGACCAGAGAGAGAGAGACCAGAGAGAGGGAGACCAGAGAGAGAGAGACCGGAGAGAGAGAGAGACCGGAGAGAGAGAGAGACCAGAGAGAGAGAGACCAGAGAGAGAGAGACCAGAGAGAGAGAGACCAGAGAGAGGGAGACCAGAGAGAGAGAGACCAGAGAGAGAGAGACCAGAGAGAGAGAGACCAGAGAGAGAGAGACCAGAGAGAGAGAGACCAGAGAGAGAGAGACCAGAGAGAGAGACCAGAGCTAGAGACCAGAGAGAGACCAGATGGACAGAGCGGGGCACCTTGTTTAGAGCGCGCCTTTCGTTGGCTGTTATGTCACCAAACCACATAGTCACAGAACCAACTAAGCAAAAGTTCAATGGTGCAGCGGGAAAAAAAAGTTAAGCAGAATCTTAGCATGAAGACCTGAGTCTGGTGTGCTCCTGCTTGGTTGGAATGAAAACCTGCAGCCTCATCGACCCTTTGAGGACCAGTCTGACCCCCCTGGTTGAAGGACAGTGGTCATCCCGCTCCCTATGGACCAATGAGGCTCCTATGTGTTTGTTATTATTGCATTTCCAGTTGATCTGATCCTGATCTGTTATTGTTGAATCCACAACTTTGGTCCTGTCTCCCTCAGACACCTTGTGAAGCAGGATTCCATGGAGTCTCAGTTGAAGCGAATGGATGACACCAGAGTGGACGCAGACGACGTGGTGGAGAAGATCCTCCAGAGTCAAGACTTCACCCCGAGTTTATTAGACTCCAGCGCAGAAGGTGAGTACAGAGAGGGAGAGACCAGAGAGGGAGGCCAGAGAGAGGGAGAGACCAGAGGGAGACTAGATGGAGAGAGAGAGACCAGAGGGAGGGAGAGAGAGAGAGACCAGAGGGGCGAGAGAGAGACCAGAGGGCGAGAGAGAGACCAGAGGGCGAGAGAGAGACCAGAGGGCGAGAGAGAGACCAGAGGGCGAGAGAGAGACCAGAGGGAGAGAGAGAGACCAGAGGGAGAGAGAGAGACCAGAGGGAGAGAGAGAGACCAGAGGGAGAGAGAGAGACCAGAGGTAGTAAGTAAGTAGTAGTAAGTAATTTTTATTTATATACCGCCTTTTCACTGCAGATCTGAGCGGTTTACAATTGTTAGGGAGAGAGAGAGACCAGAGGGAGAGAGAGAGACCAGAGGGAGAGAGCGAGACCAGAGGGGTGAGAGAGACCAGAGGGGGAGAGAGAGACCAGAGGGGGAGAGAGAGACCAGAGGGGGAGAGAGAGACCAGAGGGGTAGAGAGGCTAGAGGGAGAGAGAGGCTAGAGGGAGAGAGAGCGGGCAGGAGACTACGGTCCATCAGGACCAAAACCTCTCGTCATAAGAACAGTTTCTTCCCTCTGCTGTTGGACTCTTGAACACTTCATAACCTGTCCCCCCGCCCTTTATAAGTCACTTTGCTGCCCATCATAACGTCACTTTACTACTGTCACCTTATTGCACTGCTTACCAGTGTGTGCGTATTGTGTACACCATGTGCACCTGTATATTGTATATAGTAATTGTAATCATAATAAATCTATTTTGAATTTTATACATAAGAAGTGTATGCTGATTTTTATTATGCCTTACTCTATTCTTTACCTCTCTCTCAGTGCATCGACTGATGCACTGAGCCAAAGCAATTTCCCTGTCTGTGACTTCCTGTTACATGGCAATAAAAATGATTCTGATTCTGAGAATCCAGAGACAGAAACCAGAGAGAGGGACCAGAGAGAGATAGAGAGACCATGCCCTCCAGCTCGCTCTAGTCTCGGGTTTCCCCTGAGTCACTGTGACTGAGGGCATGTGTTTATCCTTCTCAAGGTCCTCACTGCTGCTGTCAATACACAGCAGTATTTTTAGATCTCCTAGCAACTGGCTCTCTATGACTGTGTGTGTGAAATATGGTTTTAATCAGATAAAGACAGCAGTGTTGTAGTTTGACGTAGAATATTACACACCTCAGCTTTAAATAATCAATATCAACTGACATCAATGTGTTCTGTTTCAGAGGAGGGACTACGTCTGTTCGTCGGCCCAGGAGGAAGCACTGCCCTGGGGAGCCACCACCTGCCCACCAGGTCAGGACCAGAGAGGGAGACCAGAGAGGGAGGGAGACCAGAGAGGGAGGGAGACCAGAGAGAGAGGGAGACCAGAGAGAGAGGGAGACCAGAGAGGGAGGGAGACCAGAGAGAGACCAGAGAGGGAGGGAAACCAGAGAGGGAGGGAGACCAGAGAGAGACCAGGGAGGGAGGGAGACCAGAGAGGGAGGGAGACCAGAGAGGGAGACCAGAGAGGGAGACCAGAGAGGGAGGGAGACCAGAGAGGGAGGGAGACCAGAGAGGGAGGGAGACCAGAGAGAGAGGGAGACCAGAGAGGGAGGGAGACCAGAGAGAGACCAGAGAGGGAGGGAGACCAGAGAGGGAGGGAGACCAGAGAGAGACCAGAGAGGGAGGGAGACCAGAGAGGGAGGGAGACCAGAGAGGGAGGGAGACCAGAGAGGGAGACCAGAGAGGGAGACCAGAGAGGGAGACCAGAGAGGGAGACCAGAGAGGGAGACCAGAGAGGGAGACCAGAGAGGGAGACCAGAGAGGGAGACCAGAGAGGGAGACCAGAGAGGGAGACCAGAGAGGGAGACCAGAGAGGGAGACCAGAGAGGGAGACCAGAGAGGGAGACCAGAGAGGGAGACCAGAGAGGGAGACCAGAGAGGGAGACCAGAGAGGGAGACCAGAGAGGGAGACCAGAGAGGGAGACCAGAGAGGGAGACCAGAGAGGGAGACCAGAGAGGGAGACCAGAGAGGGAGACCAGAGAGGGAGACCAGAGAGGGAGACCAGAGAGGGAGACCAGAGAGGGAGACCAGAGAGGGAGACCAGAGAGGGAGACCAGAGAGGGAGACCAGAGAGGGAGACCAGAGAGGGAGCCCAGAGAGGGAGCCCAGAGAGGGAGCCCAGAGAGGGAGCCCAGAGAGGGAGCCCAGAGAGGGAGCCCAGAGAGGGAGCCCAGAGAGGGAGCCCAGAGAGAGAGACCAGAGAGAGAGACCAGAGAGAGAGACCAGAGAGAGAGACCAGAGAGAGAGACCAGAGAGAGAGACCAGAGAGAGAGACCAGAGAGAGAGACCAGAGAGAGAGACCAGAGAGAGAGACCAGAGAGAGAGAGACCAGAGAGAGAATCAGTTTGACTGTTTTTCTTGTTTTATTTCCCGCTGTCTGAAATGTTCTTCTGCTCCTCAGGGTTGGAGCTGGAGCCTATGAACAAGTCGTCATGAAACGCTGAAGCAAAAGAAAACCCAGAACTCAACACGCCCCCTGGTGTCTGTCTGTGTCATTGCACTGTACACGGTTTGTCATCTCTGAGAAAACAGAAAAGAGCTTTGAAGTCTGTTTCAAATCAAAGAGGTCGACGTGAGACTGAGGCAACGACCCGTGGGTCTCTGCTGGGTCTGGATCCTGGGTCTGGATCCTGGGTCTGGATCCTGGGTCTGGAGCTGGATCTTACAGACTGTTTTCGATACATTCCACAGTCGCTCCTGGAGAAGTGACTGGAAACGAAGCTGCTGCTCTACAATCTATTTGTTTGTCAATGTCTTTGTAGCTTTTGTTTTATCATTATTGTTTAATTTGTGTATCATTATTGTGTTATTATTTCAATGTTTGAGGCAGAATGATGAAACGAAGACTTCATTTGCAAAAACACTTATCACCTGTGACTGTGATCCTCTGGTTACAATCTTCAGGTTTTGTTATTAGTAATTTTGGAAAATATTTAGATTTGCTCTGACTAATTAATTGCTACTTAGTGAACCCTAACTTAACCCACACGGGAAAGTGTCGGTATTTAGATGTAGAATAAGTGCTTAGTAAATACCAATTAAGAGCCAAATAACCATGAAATATACACTAATTAGCTGTTAATTAGTGAAGGCTAAATGAAAGATTAACTGTTTGCTCAAGAATGGGGTGACACTTTATTTGTATGGCACTGAAATAGATCTGGCTTTTCTCAAAACACTTGAAGAGTTAACCGAGTCCAAGACATTTCCAACGTCACAGATCTGTTTTTGCAAATGGACTTTTTTCTAACATTGTTTCATCTGTCTCTTTAGCTAAACCTAAAACTCTCCTCGTGACTGTTTGTCTCAGATCGATAACTTTTGTATTTTTAAACTAGATCTGTTCGACATGAGACAGAATCATTGGTAAAAACTGTAAGTGGAAATCATCGTTTGTTAACTTTACTATAGCAGGCATTTTGGCTCAAATGAAAATGCTAATTTGTGTATTTTGATAATAAGGAAGTGTGTAGGTCTCAGAAGCCCCGTTTCCACCAGCTCTACCCTACTCTACTCGGTTGTGTTTCCATTAGACTTAAGTGTCTGGTACTGTCTCCTAGCAACCTTTACAGGGCAAACCAGTATCTGGATAGAACCAGGACCAAGAGGGACTAAAGAAGGACCTGGTACTGGTTACTCAGGGCTGGTGGAAACGGCGCATGTTTTGTCTTTAAACTAAAACAAATCCACTCCAGATATATCAGCTTATACCCTTCTGCTTCCTGCTGTGATGTCACATGTCCCCCCCCCCTCCCCGACCTGTGTGCTTGGAGCTGTATAAAAGTCGTCGCACTGCCGTTGTAGAGAGAGAGGCTTCTTTATCCAAACAGCTGGTCTGTTTGTGTCAATACAGAAGTTAAATATATAACTAGAGATTAAAACTGTCACACTGCACAAGGAACACAGCCTTTCTTTCTCACTGAAGAGAAATCATCACTTAAAATAAATCCTGACCCGTACAGACTTTGAGCCTTGTGGAACATTAAATCTTAGACATGTTTTCTCTATTACTAGAATATATCGAGAATAGTTTTATTGTTCCATATCAATGTTTTTGTTCACAAGCTTTAAAGTGCATTAGATATGTTTTTAAAGTTCATGTTTGTTCGTTTTTGATCAGTCAACATTGGGAGACTTTAAGTATAGTTCTCTATCTGGTCTATTCCCCAGTCTTAAAGCTGGGGTTCTAGACTTCCCCCTTCCATAGATGACACATGAGGTTTTGGAAAAGTGAAACGTCAGGCCGCAACATGCTGTCTTCATTATAATAGAAACCATGATCTTTTGGGTAAGAAAGATCCCTGTTAGTCACTATTTGACTCATCGCTGAGAACTGAATGGTGAGACCAGAGAGAGACCAGAATAAGCTGATCTAACGATGAGGCCAGAAATATGTGATAGAAGCAAACTGCTTTAGAGCCAGGAACAACAGACTTGGATATTACAGGGTCTAGGGAGGTGTTGCAGATGTCAAATAACTTCATTTCTTATTACCCAACTACTCCACAGCCATATTTTTGACCCTTTTTTACTCAGTACCACTGCTGGACCATAGATACATGTTCTGGACATTGTTGAGCTTCAGCAACAGTTTTCCACCTGCTCACCAGGGGGCGCAGCTGTCTTAAAAATACCAGTCTCCTTGGTTTCACCTAAACAGATTTTCTAGTCATCAATTATAAGTCTGTATCATTACCAAACTAATTTGATGCAGTTTTGGTTCCAATTTGTTAAAGAATATAGGTATATAGATACAGCTCATGCCAATTAGTAGATCATAATTCCTCTCGGTTTCTTCCGGGTCAGCTCTATTTACCACATCAGGCCAATGTTGCAAATCTACAACATCCCAGAACCCATTGCCGGTGAAAGTTTCTCTCTCCAAAAAAAAGAGTCAGGATTGTATATTACTACCTCGTGATAATTTTTGCCAAATATCAGATTTTTCCTGTCATTCAAATTTAATTTGGCCCTGAGAGGGTTAAAAGTTAGGTGCCCCAGCTTTAAATGAAGCACTAGAACCAGTTGCAGAATTGTTCTGTATAAAATGGCTCGTTCATTGGGAAACTAATACAAAGAGTCTCCAAAAGGCTTTGTAGAATGAGCTTCTTTTGTGAGATTAATTGTGTGAAGCAAAGAGAACTCCCCTCAAACAAATGAACATCGTTTAAGAACTTATCCAACAGAATTCTGGAGTTTTTAGACCCTTGTTTTGAGGAGTCTTTCTACAAGTCTTCTGGACACTACACTAATCCTGCTGCCTCCAGTGAAATGACTGAACTTGACTTGTCTTCTGCACTTTAAATCTTGAATCCAACTGTGATGTGGCTGAAGGCAGATGAGAGAAAGCTGTGTCTTATATGAAAAATTACAAAAGTCTTGATACATGTCTCTGCCCTGATGCTGTTGCTGCTGATTCTGATGCTACGGAATTTGTGTATAAACATAGACTGTTTACAGATGGACAATGCTAACCAGCTGGCTCAAAGAAGCCCAATAGGAAAGTGCTCATGGTGAAGTTTGGCGCCAATTCTTTCTGGCTCCTATTGACTTAAAAGTAAACTGCTCTAGCTCAGTAACGATGTGTGTCCAATCAGATGCCTTCATTCATGAGGGGAATCTGTACCAATACTTCCATTAATAATACTTTTTACCGACCGATTTCGGACGCAGGTTTCCCAAAGTGAGGTCCCAGGGAGGCCTCTGAAAGGTTATCCACACCACAAGAAATTGGGATGCATCCAATTTAGTTACAATTATTTAGTTCTCTATACCAGACAATTGTTAGATATGGTTTTATTTTGATGTTGGTATAGGAGAACCATTTAACTTTATCCACTAAGGTTGTATTTTGAACATAGCTGATTTTAAACTTAAATCACACATTTTCATCTCATTTGGCTGAAAATGAACGGGCAAAGTATGACATTCTCCATGACATAAATCAATGGGAGCTTTGGGCAATTCTACCGCTATCCAAACAAAACAGCTGTGTGTTTGTGGGATTTAAACAAAAACATTATTATATGTTATCTCAGTGTCATCATGTACTTGTAGTGGTGGAATAACCTTGCCCTAAAGTGCCAAATCTGAAACCAGGAATCTTTGTATTTCCAAACTCTCCTCGCCCGCCCCTACGCACCATAAGCACCTCTCTATTCTCACATATCTGGTTATATCAGTGCCACCAGAGACAACGGTTGCATCTTCAGCCTGAGGAAAGTCACTCATGAACTCGCTGTGCCATTATTTTAACTGAATATTTTGTTTTTATCTTAATGAATAGAGCCAAATGCTACGGTGAATCTGGACAGTACCAGCTGGACTACACGCTCTTTGGTTTCTCTGTAGTGATGTGGACTTTATTTGTATACTTTCTTTTTGATACACTATAAATATTTGTATTTTGATAGATTTTACAACCTGATTTGCACACAGCTCTCTCAGCTGACGGCGTAGCACACATTCCTCCCGGTAAGTTTATGTGAACCGCAGAGACATGACAAAGTGTTGGGGACAAACACATAACTCGTTCATGTGGTTAGCCAGAGCGCTTTGGTATTCACTTTAAAACAACAGCTTGTCATTTAATTATGTTGTGACCAGTAGAAGTCGGTGAAGTTTTACATTACAACAAGAATCAAACCGGTCCGCGAAGGGCTGTGTGGCTGCAGGTTTTCAGTCCAATTAAGCAGAAGCGCACAAGACTCCACCTATTTCCTCAGGTCTCCCGGTTAAGACTGGACTCACTTGAGGAAGATAAGCCATTATTCGAGCCCTCAGTTTGTAGATTTCAATTTAAAATGGGTGGAGTGGTGCGTGCTCCAGCTTGGTTGGAATGAAAAGCTGCATAAAAAACTAGGATTCTAAGATCCTGGTTTGGCTGTCATCTGTTGCCTCTCTCCTGCTTGGTTGGAATGAAAACCTGCAGCTACACCAGCCTTTTGAGGGCCATGTTGACATACCCGGATTACAACATGAAAATCTGCAGCTATAAATGTGGGAAAAAAATGTACTCTATTCATTTGTAGCTGGTTTATGTACAAGTCTGCTCCAGCTACTACTGTCAAATTCTGATATCTCTGCACTGTGGGACAAAAAGTTGCTCTACATCTTAATAACTGTTGTGTCTAAAGCGTTGTCTGTCTGGAAGCTTACTGGAATCATAAATATCGCAAAACGGACTGATTATTATTCCAACATTTCAAACGTAGCACAGGGTCCAGACATGAGCCTCTGATTGGTCCTCTCTGTTGTGCTCTCGGTGTTTGAGCTTTACTTTCTCTTTTGTGAAGTTTTTCTGGAAATCTGTGAAAGTGACGTGATCTGTTCTCAGTGAAACATCAGCTTTTTGCCAAAATACAGATATATACATTATATATATATATATATATATGTACCTGACACTGTTCAATAAAACTATGGCTGAATAAGACTTTGTGTGTTTCATGTTCATTTAAAATCGGGTAGAATCAAGTTTGTGAATTAAGACCTAATTTGGATGAGATACTTCACACACAAAAAAACAACAAATCGCTCTCTGGTCTCGCTCTCTGGTCTCGCTCTCTGGTCTCGCTCTCTGGTCTCGCTCTCTGGTCTCGCTCTCTGGTCTCGCTCTCTGGTCTCGCTCTCTGGTCTCGCTCTCTGGTCTCGCTCTCTGGTCTCGCTCTCTGGTCTCGCTCTCTGGTCTCGCTCTCTGGTCTCGCTCTCTGGTCTCGCTCTCTGGTCTCGCTCTCTGGTCTCGCTCTCTGGAGTTTGGTCACGTTTATAGAGAAGTCCTGGACACAGAGGACACTGGACCATCTTCCCTTTCTGAGTTAGTGTCACATAAAAACAAAACATTCATTCATTCAGTAGAACTTTATCAGCGTTTGAACAGATGTAACACAGTTCCTGCAGGCGGGATGTGAACAACGACCGTCTGTTCAGTCTTCTTCCCAGTTCTCCACAGGTTTGTGACTCAGAACTGGAGTTTCTCTCACTTCTGTAAAGTCTCCTCCAGACGCCTCCTCGTCCAGATCTCTTTCAGACGCCTCCTCTTCATCTGCAAACACAAAGAGAGTTTGAGGAGAGATCTACAGGAATTCAAAACACTTATCCTCTTCTCTCCGCTCTTGGGTGGCTCCTTTCATCTCTCTTTTCATCACTTTCTTTCTCCTCACTTCTCCTTCCTCTCCTCCTCTCCTCCTCTCCTCCTCTCCTCCTCTCCCCCTTTCCTTTCCTCTCTCTCCCCTCCCCTCCCCTCCTCCTCTGCTGTACCTATTGGCAGCAGCAGAGCAGATCCGTCTGGACTCAGGTGAACCGTCGGCTCTTCGCTCAGAAAGACTCTGAGGTTCGATAAACTCCCACTGAGAGCCGCGACTCGAGGAGCAGCCGCCCAGAGCGAGAGCAGAGGCACCGACACACACCTGAGGAGGAGGGCAGCTTTGTTTGTATAGCGCAGTTCACACACATGGAAACTCAAAGTGAAAATTAGAAACGATTACAAAAGGCATTCAAATCATAATCATAGAACATTAAGATCCAATGCCCCAGTTGTTGCAGAAACACAACAATGTATGTTTATTTTTTTTACTAATCTTTATTGGAAACATCAGAAACAAAAGTGACAAATTTGCATTATACAGAATCAATGCAAATCAATATTTACATGAAATACATACAGATAAAGAATTACAGGGGGTAGAGAGAGGGAGCTCTGATTGGATTGAATGCATTTTGGGCTGTGTGTGTGAGAGAGTATGAGTATGAGCGTGTGAGGTCACTGTTATGGCTGGATATTATCAAAGTAGCGTTAGGATATTTAGTTATTGTTCTTTGAAACAGTTTTATAGAAAAACAGAGGACATGTTTTTCTGTTAGTGGGTGTTTATGATGGTGTGGTTGTGATGCGTTAAAACGACGAGGTGTGTTATGTGTCCTTTAAAAGGGAGCGTTAGTTTCCTCTGAGCGAGCCCGATGTGTGTACGTATGGTCAAGGGCTCCTGTTCATTGTGGTGCATTAAAAAGACGAGAGCATGACCTTCTGCCTGGACTTGGTTGGTTCCCGGAAAGGCCACATTCTGTCTCTATACTTACTACATGTGGATCTTCACCATCCTCACCCTGTTACCAAGTGTAAAGTTCATTTTCACTTTGATTTAATAGCAAAGACAGCAGTAATAATTTCAGTTGTTAGTGTGAGTATGAGTGTTTATCTGTGTTTGTGTGAGTGTGTATGTGTATGTATGTAAAGTTAACAATGAAAGGCATTACTTTTGAATGCGCTGGAAACGGCTGCAAGTCCTAAGCAGCTCTGAAACAGTTTTGTTTGTTTTGTGCTTAACAATTTTTTTTTTATTGCTTTTTTCTGCTTGAGATGTTGCTGCAGTACAGTGTTCATGGTTTTACACTGGTCCAGACCAGAGAGGATTCATGGTCCAAACCAAGCGGATCAGCCAAAAATCCACTGGAAGAATGCTGACTTTTTGAAAAATGCTAATGAAGCATTTAGCATTTTACTTTGGACTAGAGCAGAGAAAATGGTCTGAACCAAGCGACTTCTCCACCTCTGCTGCTGTGACCTAAAGGGCTGTTGCTTATTCTTTTACTATTGTTATCTTTTTGGAATGATCAATTTTATTTTCTACTGGACACCTGAATTTCTCCGACGGGGATCAATAATGTATCTATCTATCTATCCATCTATGAGCCAGTGCTATGGTTACGATGTGTTCAAGGACTGCGTTTGTCCAATGGTAGATGTGTAGTGCATGTTTTGATTTCCAGTTTTGGAGGATTCTCTTTGCGATGGCAATAGATGTTAGCAGGCTGTTTTTGAGGAGTGGTGGTATGTTGATAGTGATGTGACCGAGTGATTGTGAGACAGAAGTTTTGTGCAGGTGAACAAGTGAGTGTCCGGAGTTCCTTCAGTGCATTGTGAGCATGTGTCCAGTGGCTGATCTGTAGATTTGTACTGAGGGTCATGGTGAATGTGTTATTGCATATTTCTATCCAGGCTTCAGGGGGAAGTGTTTCATGTAGTTTGGTGTTCCATTTATTGGAAGGTATGTGTACTGATGAATCTGTATCGATTCATGTATAGAGTTTGGAGATGTGATTGGTGATTTTTTTAAGTTTACGAGTCTTCTAGCAGTTGAGATGGAGTATTAAATGTAAGATTCATTTTGGTCCTGGTTATTGCTTTTATTTGTAGATATTGAACGCTGTGTTGATTTAGAAGGTTATATTTTTGGAAATGTCTTTGAAGGTGAAAAGGGTATTGTTTTGAAAGAGATGTTGCAGGTGAGCCATTCCCGTATCTTGCCGGGAGGGTAGTGCACAGGTGTTTTGTTAGTGAGGAAGTCAGGATTGTCTCAAAGTGCGAGGTGATGGATGGTGCAGTGGAAGAGTTAGTAAGGTGTCGGGCTTTCCACCAGACCGCCAGCTTGTTGATGATGGCTTTATCCATTTAGTGAGGTATTGCAATTACTTGGCTATGAAGTATGTCTGGAAGTTTTGGTTTAGACCGCTTTGTGGTTTTTGAAGTGTTTCATATTTTGTATTTGATCTTAGGTTTTTTATTGTTCCAGTAGTATTCGATTATGAGTGAGTCTAATGTTCAAAACTATTTATCTGGAGGCGTGACTGGGATATTTGAGAATAGGTAGTGAAGTCATTTTTATATAAGCAATGTATCCGATGGAACATAATGGTAAGTTTGACCGTCTTATGAGATAATTTTGGGGAGTATGGTTAAGTGAGAATAACTCTGGAGGAAATATTGATGCCAAGATACTTGATGTTGACAGCCGAGAGTGAGGAAAGAGATTCCTGATTCCCAAGCATGTTCTGTTATTAGGAGCAATAATTGACAAATAATTAGCTGGAATAATTGACTTGTTCCAGTTAATTGTATAGTTGGAGACTGATGAAAATGTGGTCTGGAGGTTGTCAGATGAGGTTCTGTTTTTTAATTAATCCTGTCTGGTCTGGTGGATTAGTAATGGGGAACTGTTTTTAACCTGGATTTGAACATAGTCAGTGAAGAAGCCTGTCTCACATTTTCAGGAAGAGAGAGATTAACGCAATGAGCTCAAGAACGTGGAAAAGTGAAACATGAGACTTGGACTCTCAGAGCCGTCATTGTGACTAAACTAAAAGCCGTCACATTGACTGCTCAGAGTCCTGGTGTGAATTAGGGATGTACCGATCCGATATTCAGTATCGGTATCGGAGGCCGATATGGGTATTTTGTAAGGATCGGATAATATCGGATTTGTTAAATATGAAGCCGATTTACGTCACTTTTCATCATGCTCACGCTTTACGGCTGCCGTAAACTAAATACAATGTAAAACTAGGGCTGTGCGAGAAAACGACAACGAGATATATTGCAATAGACACGTGTTCGATATCAATAGAAAACGGGGTCGATAGAATGTTAGAACATTCATCTGTTAGAAAAAAACGGACGAAAATACAGGAAGTAAAGCCGAGTCAGAAGCGCGCGGCATTCTGGGGGGATGTAGGCAGAGGCTTCTCGACCCATCACAGCCAAGCGTGAACCGCAAAACTTTCTGGGAAATGCATTAACAACAACCGCACAATGCGTAGCGTACATGGATCTAAAGATTGTTTTTCAATGCCATGTCAGTGGTTATGCACGTCGGTGCGAGGCATAGCATGTGCGGCGGGAGAGGCAGCGGACACAGAGACCCGGTGCATGCGGCAAAAGCAAGTGATGATCTTTGTCCTCCGTGCGGCTATCAGAGCGCGGCTGCACGGAGCCGTCACGAGATAAACCAGAACTAAACCAGGATTTCACCAGGACTAACTATGGGGGAGACTGCTTGTGAACATATTCCTCGAGCCTCATTCCCCGTGACTGTAAACAAGGCTGGTAACGTGTGTTAGCCGACACGGCAAACATATTTATTCAGGTAAAAATGCAAAATCTTTAATGCTTTGAAAATATTAGGCAAAATTGTATCGGATCGGTATCGGATCGGTATCGGATTGGTATCGGATTGGTATCGGCAAAACAATATTTAGAATATCGGAATCGGATCGGATTACTAAAAATCTGGATCGGTACATCCCTAGTGTGAATCACCTTTGAGAATCACAAGTGTCTCCCTCCTCAGCTGCAGTTCCACCGTCTTCCTCTGGAGGTTGCTCTTCTCCACACGCTGTACACAGTTCAGTCAGACTCTATGATCAAAGTCTCACGGTTTTCACACATAATTAAAAACACATCCTTGACCTCTGACCTCCTGTGTCTGTGTCCAGGTCTTGCTCCTCCACAGCGCCTCCTCCTGGTCCCAGAGTCTTCCTCCTCCTTCTCCTCCTCAGCTCCTCGGCCCAGAACAGAACCTCACTCACCAGGACACGCCGCAGCACATTATTGTCCATCAGAGACGGGTACTTTATCCTGTGTAGCTGAGACATCACAGAGAAACCACAGAGGGAGAGAGATTGCAGGAAACCTCAGAAAAACCACAAAGAGAACACAGAAAGATCACGGAGAGATCACAGAGAGAGCTCAGAGATAGATATGTTCAAAATCCAAGTCAAACTCTTTGTCTCTGTATCTATTGTACATATGTTTGATGGAGTCTAAACTTCTCACCAGTTTGTACGGAGTCTGTCTCTGGTTCCTCTCTTCGAGCGCCAGGTTGGACACGCTCTTGAGTCGGTGGAAAACAGCAATCTGAGAACAGAAGCCAAACTGCTGCTGTTGTCCTTCGGGCGCCCGCCCCACTCCAGTGAGGTCCACTGAGTATCCAAACTTTAGACACACACACTGAGCCCTGAGAAACACACACACAGAGGTCCACCGAGTATCCGAAACACACACAAAAACCTGACCCCGCAGAGTCTCACCAGGACTGGAACTGTTCCCTGCTCCACTCAAACTTGTGGTCCGGGTGCCTGAAGCCCCTGAGGCCCGGCAGTAGGGCGTTGTAGTCGGAGTTGGGGGTGCTGACGATGACGTGAAGCGGGGACCAGTCTCCGAACAGAACCTCAGAGAACAGCTCCAGGTTAGAGAGGACCAGGTGCTCGATGCTGGAGAAAGGACACACACACACACACACACACACACACAGACACACACAGAGTGAGGTGGAGGACTCTTTGATATTACTAAAATACAGTGTTTTTCAACCAGTGTGCCGTGGTACGTTAGTGTGCCTTGAGATTTTATTTGGTGTGCCTTTGGAAATTATCCAATATCACCTACTTGGTCCAAATAATAATGTGAAATTAAAACCTAAAAATTAGAAGATTAGAAATACTTCTTTGATTTTCTATATAATACACTTTGATAAGAATGCAATCTTTATTAACAAAACGAAGTCAGAGTTACATGCTTGTATCAGTTTCAGCTGGTGGAGTGCCTGATTGTTTTAAATGAAAAAAAGGTGTGCCACAGCTCAATAATGTTGGGGAACGCTGCTATACTGTATACACTACTATACAATTCCATCTGTAGAGGATAATATGGTACCTATTGACCACCTCCTGGCTGCCAAGCTTTAAGGCAGGGGTGTTAAACTGATTTAGTCTTGGGTCCCTTTCTTACAAAGAGCTGTTGTTTTTTAACACTTTTATCTCAAATATCAACTGTATTTGACTTTTGAGTTTTGATGTTATTTTCTTGTAGGTTTGGATTCAACCACTACTGGGGCAAATATTAATAAGTTATGTACTGGAAGACTGATAGTAATAATAATAATAATAATGATAAAAGTCCAGTCCAGTTTATTTATAAAGCACTGATAAAAACGTGATGGAGCGTATGACGTCAGTAGGTCAGACAGATAACGTGGAGTATGGCCATTCAGGCATTTATAAACAAACAAAGGGACTTTAAAATCAATCTGGTAGCTAACAGGAAGCCAACGAAGGGATGACAGGACCAGTGAGATATGGTCATACGTCCGAGTTACTGTTAACAGACGCGTTGCAGTGTTCTGTACCAGCTGCAGACAAGCGAGTGAGGACTGGCTGATTCCTGTGTACAAGGCTCTACAATAGTCCAGCCGAGTCGTAACAAAGGCGTGAATCAACATTTTGCCTTGAAAGGGGGGACATTGTTTTAGCAAGTTGCCTTAAATGGAAGAAACTACTTCACCACTGCACTTATTTGTTTTTCAAATTTACAATCAGCATCCATTTTTACACCAAGTGCCCGACCAGCAGAACTTCACTCTTTTATTCATTTGAAATGTAAAAGGTTTGCTGCCATCCACATTTTGATTTCAGTTATAAAGTTATAAATTACACTTAAGAAGAACATAGATTTTGCTGTCATCTGCAAACACGTAGCCCGTCTCTCGCCAGATCCTTGTAGTTCCGCCGGAGGCGTTTCGCTTCACGCACAAGGGTCTGGGATGAAGCGCATAGCAAACTCCTTCAGCAGATAAGAAAATAATTGACCAATCAGGATCGCCGGTGTTACATTGGGTTGGCATTGCCTTCTCAAGCGTGTCTCACGCGGCAGCGAAAGCAATCCAAGATGGCGGGCATAAAGTCTGTGAATTTAAAAAAAAGTTTAGATACAAACGAATTAAAACACGGATGTCACTTTTAATGCAATTTGAGGTAAGATGTTGATGATTCTATGTCATTATATGTGTGTTTTAAGAGTCAAATGTTTGTGTAAAGTTTGGTTTAAGCACTGGTTTAAGTGTTCCTGTTTACAACACTAGGCAGCAGGGTTGCCAGGTTGGCTGGTTTCCCGCATAATTTTCTTCAAGAGACTTGTAGGTAATAAACAGAAAGACAAACAGAATCATGATACCCCAAGTTGATTACATTACGTTTTTAGCCAAAAAATCATTCTGAGTGTTTTTTTGGGCATTCTCAAGGGTTTTGGGCTGGAAAATTTTGCCAGCATTTGGCAACCCATGGGAGTCGTGTGCTTCAATGCGAGTGGTTGAAAGCAGACGCCATTCAAGGTAACGGACAAGTGGTTTATCCAATCACATACAAGGATATTTTGAAATCCTTCTGAAATCCAACCGCTATGGCTCAGACCCAGACCCATGTGAGAAGCGCAGCGATCGACAAGGGTCAGTCTAGCAAACAGGTGGAATGACACTCAAAACCTCTGGAGGATAGCTCCTAATGGAAACAGATACAACGAAAACAGGAGTAGCCAGAGGATAGACCTTTGAGGCACCCCACACCACAGGGGGGCTGTGGAGAAAACAAAGTTACCAACTCACACAGAAACTCCTATCTCTGAGATAAGATCGGAACCATTCCAGAGCATAGCCCTGAATGTCGACTGAGTGTTCAAGGCAACACAGGAGGGTTTCATGGTCCACTGCACCAACGCTACAGTGCGACCAGAGTCAAGGGACATCAGGATATCATAAACTCTTAACAATGCTGACTCTGTACTGTGGAGGTTCTTGAAACCAAATTGGAACACTTCAGGAATCTCATTTTCCTCCACAAATTACTTCAGCTGGGCAAAGACAATTATTCTGATTTTGGACACAAGCTGGACGGAACTTTGAAGTAGTGATGTGCTGAGCGTGCCGAGTCTTCAAAGCGTGTACGGAGTTATCAAGGGGAGGTCTTTTTGAAGCGTGGGTCGAGGCGTGTGTTGGTGACGTACAGTATGTGCTGACGTTCGAAGCCTCGCGTAGCGGCCGCACCACGTGACGGTTCACTGAGGTGCTTCAGTGCGTTGCTTTGACAGGTTGCTTTGTGATCCGCGGCTTTACCCGTCTGCCTCTGTGTGTGTGATGTGGAGCAGTCTTATATAAAAGTTTTGCAAATCTACTTCATATGAAATACAATTAAAAATGTCTCACTTTAAGATAAACTTCAATTTCATATATCCAGGTTAAGAAAAACATTGTGACATTGAGATTAGGGATGTAAATCGGCGACCGTTTAACCGGTGGTTGACCGTCACAGCGTTAACCGGTCAAAGCTGTCGGTTAAAAAAGAGAAAACGGGGAGAGGGGAGGTCTCTTAATAACGCTATTTTAAGCCCTATTTGCACGGTGTGACGAGCGGGTCTGTATCTAGCTGTGTGCGCCAATGTATTATAAACTCCGGGACGACTCTCACGCCGCACGAGCCACATATGCACACACGCACGCGTATGCACGCGTGCACACACACACACACACACACACACACACTTTCCCCCTCTCTATACGTAACATCCACACGCATCATCTCTCCCCTCTGTTACCGTCAAAGTTGCACACTGGCGCGGGTCAGAACTACATTGGAGCTTACATTTACACACACACACATATACATACACACACACACATACACACATACATACACACACACATACACACACACATACCGGTCTGTCGCGCTCCTCTGTGTCACGGAGCCCAAAGGATTCGCGCAAATACGCGGCTCCAGTCAAACCACATGGAACATGTTTGTGTTTATGGTCCTCGGGATCAGCTCCACACACATCACTTGTATTTAAACTTTTGTGAAGACCTGTGAGACGCGGCTCGTCACTCGCTGCTCTGACCATGTGAACGAGCCGTCGTTTGCTGCTAGAAAGTTTTGGTATTAACCCGCAGCACAGCAGAATGGGAAGATTAAAAAAGCAGTTCTCTGTGCGCAAAGGTGCCGAAGCTGTTGCGGGTTTGGGCGCCGCTGTCTCAACTCTGATCCAGTAGAACGCAGAGCTGCACTTATGAAAAGTACGCGGCTCGAAATGGCTGTTATTTCAAAGAACGTGGACTATTTTAAACCACGCGGTTAACCGGTTTCAACCGGTTAATGAGGCTCGGTGGTCGGTCATGAAAATTCATAGTTTTTTACATCCCTAATTGAGATGTCACAATGTTTTTCTTTTTTTTAAGAATAATTTTACGTTGAAACATGAATCACTGCTGGTCCTTGAACCCAAAGATAGCTAGTTCGAATCTGCTGCACCCAGTACATATGGCACCAGCCCCTCACTGATCCTCCTGCAGGTGGTGAGTCCACAGGAGCTTTGATCTTTGAACAGTGGGGCAGCAGACATCAGTGGGAGTTGTGAAGTAGGTCTTGTGGTGGGCTCAAACCCTCAACCTTCAGGCCCAAAGGCCAATGCTCTACCAATAACATAACAGTAATTTTTCAGAAATGTGTTGTGAAACAGACACAAAATGAGATCTCCTTCAGAACATGCGTACTTTGCCAATTTCACGTGAAATCCAGATCTGTCAAACCTCTGAAGCTGAGCAGGGCAGGGACTGGTTAGTGCTGTGATGGGAGACCTCTGGGAACACCAAACTGTGGTTGTGTCCTTAGGCAACACTCTTCACCCACATTAGATGTAGTGGTGTGTGTGTGAATGGTTCATGGTGGTGGGAGGAGCTGATGGCACAGACTGGTTGACTCGCTTCTGTCATTGTGCCCAAGGCAGCTGTGGCAACAGTAGTAGTTCATCCCTACTGTGGTTGGAGTGAAAAAATAATGACGTGTCTTTGCATGTCCAGAAAAGAGCTGTATAAAACCCATGCATTATATTTAATATTATTATTAATAATTAATTACTTCATTACTTAATTTCATTTCTTAGAAAAAATATAGTAGAAAATAAAGGTAAGGGTAATAGGTAAAGTACACCTCCAGACATATAATGACCAGGTCTTTTTCAAAAATGTGAACTGAAACAGATATTTGAGGCATCTGACAAAGCTGATCATGACCGGAGCTGAACGATGTAATCTATGATCCGTGTTTCGAGTGGTGGGAACAATTGGAGCACCCACTGGAAACTAGGGCTGGCCGATAGATCGATTTTAATTATTAAGTCAAAATTTACGTTTAGAACGATGTCTTTTTCTTTTCTCTAGCGTCCCCTGGACTCACAGCTCGATGCTCACAGCCAGGTCGAAGCCTCTCAGTCGGTGGTCCCTCTGTGTCACTGATCCCTCGTACAGCTCCACACACAGCTGCTCAAAGCCGGGCTGCAGGAAGTCTGTGGAGAGAGGGGCCAGAGACCTCCTGCAAACACACAAACACTGCTCTCACACAGGGCTTGATCCAAGTCTCTCTGGGTCTTGTTCTCACTGAGGGAAGGATGGAGGTGAGACTTACAGGTGCAGCGTGTGCAGTGATGCGGTCGCTATATCAGACGGTTGTGGTAAAGAGGGAGCAGCGTCTGCAGTCAGAGCTTTCTGTCCCCTCTCTCACCTCTGGTCCAGAGCTTTGAGTAATTACAAGATCGCGGATACAAGCACAACATGAGTTTCCTCCAGAGTGAAGCTCCATTAGAGAAAGAACTCAGTCACACAGAAGGAGCTCAGAGGAGACCCGCTGCTTCTCCATGAGGAGAGGAGACAGTGGAGGTGGCTCATCGTTTTTGGGATACCTCCTGGACGCCTCCCTGGGCAGATGTTCTGGGCATGTCCCACCGGGAAGAGACCAGGGGAAGAGCCAGGATACAGAGGGACTGAGTCTCTGGGCACACCTCATATGACCCCCATATGACCTGGAGGAAGTGTGTGTGGGATTCATTTTTTGAATCTCAATAAATAGCTTGAAATTCAAAAAAAAAATGTAAGTATGAAGAAAATTTAAAACTCACATGTGCTTCTTGACTTTGGCTCCATCGATATCAACTCCAACCAGATGTTCGATTTCTTTGTGAAACTTGAGCTTCTTCAGGAGAGAGCACTCACTGCAGCCCAAGTCCATGACCTGAGACCAAAGACCAGAGAGACCAGTGAGAGACCAGAGAGAGACCAGAGAGAGACCAGTGAGAGACCAGAGAGAGACCAGTGAGAGACCAGAGAGAGACCAGAGAGAGACCAGAGAGAGACCAGTGAGAGACCAGTGAGAGACCAGTGAGAGACCAGTGAGAGACTAGTGAGAGACTAGTGAGAGACTAGTGAGAGACTAGTGAGAGACTAGTGAGAGACTAGTGAGAGACTAGTGAGAGACCAGAGCGAAGAAGAGTAGGATAGGACAGGGTAGAGCTGGTGGAAACTTAATATTTACAGTCTATGGTCTAGACACATGAATTCTTTAAGTCATTACCAAAAGGTGCTATGTGTACTGGGTGCAGCTCTGACTGCCACCCCGGCCCAGAAATGGATTAAGGGGAAGAAAATGGATGGATGGTCTACACACGATGGTAGCTTTAAGGCTAACACTTAGCATCCTCAAAGTGCCAAAAACTAACAATTTTTTTTTATAAATCTTACCTTTTTAGTTTTAAAAGTTTTTACAAAGTCCACCACAAACTGGTGTCGTTGCTGGTGAAGTGGGGGCCTGAAAAGCGGCTCCATTAGTTAAAGAAAAGTCTGTTTTCACCGTGGACCGAAGCAATGTTTTTACTCCGAAACTGTCCGGTTTAGGCGTTGATGGTTCTGCGGGTCAAGGTGGCCAGGTCACGTGGAAAATACGCGTTTTACAGACAGAATATATGTCAAATAAACACAGATTATCATAATGTGTTCGCTAAATTCGTTTACTGATGCTTACTGACTATTATAATAGATGAATGTTACGAACGCCTTCATAAATCTATAATGTGACACATGTATCGTGTTTGAAGAGTTGCCGCCCTCTGCTGGACGTATACATCAGAATTCTCAACAACAACACAAAATTAAAGATACATTTATATAAACACTCGTAGAGAACAAGGCAAAGCTTCAAGAAATAATATAGCAATAAATCATACAAAATAGACACACAAACATCATAAAATAGACGCACTGTTTAATGTCTTGACACAATAACATACAGTCTATGCACAATAACAGATTTTCAGCAGATTGGTAGATTATTTTTAGTCTTTAAGAGAGCTCTGAAAATTATCTTTATTATTTAAGTCATTTCAATTCAATATTTGACTACTTGTATCCAGAATATCATGCACAAAGATAATATTTCGGTCAAACCAGTTTTGAATATAGAAAGTTTAGTTGTTTGATACAGATTTACTCTATTTCCACAGGGTGGCACAGTGAGGGGTGAAGGTATGGGTAAATACCATTTTCCAGTGATACATTTTCAAAAAAAAAAAAAAATGTTTCTAGTGATGTAAAACGAAAGTGAATCTGGCTTTGACAGTCTTTCTGACCACTTCTCTGATCATGTTAGAATCCAGGTTAAAACGTTTCTGTTTCACTGCTGATTATTTATGATTATTTTTTTATCTTGTCTGCAGAGGAAAGTTGCTGGTTTTATTGTAGTCTTACATCACTCGCATGAGTCAGCAGCGGGAGGCGGGATCTGTCACTGTCAGACAGAGACATACATTTATTCTGTGTTTCTGGTACGTTAGGCTTGTACGTGAGGCTTTTGACGTTGTGAGTTTAGTCGCAGTATGAGCGCGGACTCCGTGGAACAGCAGGACGAAGGGCTCGCGCTGCTCAGTATCTTTGATCCAGAAGAGTTTGTCCGGAATGAGCCGAAGTCTTCCGGAGAGTTCCGACTGAGAGCTGAGCTGCCTGCGCACTTCACCGTCAGCTTCAAACAAGGTACAGGTAATATAATAGTATTACACATGATACAATTTTGTTTATGACTATTATAGATTTGACAAAGAGGGAGGTTATTTGTTGCGTTGTTTGTTCTTTTGGTGCAGCAGAAACTATGTGAGGTGTGTTTAACCGCGCCCCATGTAGCGATGGCAACGGTGAAGCTGCCCACAGACTGTTTACTCTATGGGCCGTGGCCCCACAAGTGTCACACAGTGGCCCCAGAATTGATTTTTAAATATTGCAGTGGGTTTACATAATTCACCCATGGAACAGTCTTGCAGTATGTATGCAACATTGCAAGAGATGTCTATGCTGCAGAGCCTGCTCTTATGCACCTGTCACGTAAGGTTAGATACAGCTGCCATGGCATGCTGTACCTCATGTTAAAACCGTAGGATTTAATTTATTCTAAACTTTGAACCCAACTCTTAATTATAAACTGTTGATTAAAAAATATGAATCATTGGCATTTTCTTTAACTTTAACTGGCCCAGTTTTGGTTCAGTCCAAATACACAGAAACTGAACAACTTTTATTATAGAAAAGTCTACCTGAAAATAATCCCCAAACTCAGGTTACAATAAGTAATTTGTTTTTTTCTATATACCTGCATTGCAAAAAAAAAGCATCAAACCTGATTTTAGATGTAAGTGCAACAATCACTTCAGGAAAAGCACTGTTCCAGCTTCTTCTATGATATCAGACTGAATAAAGAACTTTGACAGTGAACTACATAAGACAGATGACTGAATGTGTATCTATATCACGCATCATGTCTCCTTTAGGTGAGAGACTAAGTCAGTATGAAGTCCTGTCTCTTCCCCCACTGTGCCTGAGCTTTGAGCTGCCTGAGGATTATCCATCATGCTCTGCTCCCTCATTCACTCTGCGCTGCTCCTGGCTCACTCCAATGCAGGTTTGTCTTTTGTTTGACTGAGGACTGAGTCTGTAGATCTAGATCTGACTCTGTAGATCCTGAACTGAGGCTGCAGATCCAAGACTGAGATTGCAGATCCAGGACTGAAGCTGTAGCCACTATACAAAAGAAACTGGAGAGAGACCAGAGAGAGACCAGAGAGAGACCAGAGAGAGACCATAGAGAGACCGGAGAGAGACCAGAGAGAGACTGGAGAGAGACTGGAGAGAGACCGGAGAGAGACCAGAGAGAGACCAGAGAGAGACCATAGAGAGACCATAGAGAGACCAGCGTGAGACCATGGCGAGACCAGAATGAGACCAGAGAGAGACCAGAAAAGCCCAGAGGAAAACCAGAGAAAGACCAGAGATGCCCAGAGGAAGACCGGAGAAAGACTCGAGAGAGACCAGAGAGAGACAGAGAGACCAAAAAGACCAGAGAAAGAGACCAGAGTGAGAGCCCAGAGATGTATCAGGGAGAGCCCAGAGAGAGACCCCAAAGCTCATGACCAGAGGTGAGGGAGAGGACGTAGACCAACCAGTACATCAAGAGCTTTCGACTCAGCTCCCTCTTCACAGCAATACTTAAAGGTCCCATATTGCGCTTTTTGACTTTTCTCTGGTTTAAACATGATTAAAGAGCTATTTGGCCTTTATACACATGCCCAGAGTAGTTTTTTCATTGATTCCCTCAAGCTTTAGCTAGAGAGCGATCTTTCTCTTTCATTCTCGAGAGGCACAGAAACGAGCTGTTTAAAATCGTGACGTGGCACAATCCGTAACGTGAAAAGCCTGGTCAGCGGCAGCCTCTCTCTGAGTCCAGCGTGTGGTCCATAGACCGTAAATAAGCGTCTGTACATTTTTGTGTTTGCTTCATGTCAAAATGTGTTGTGTAAATATGTGACAAGAGTATTTAGCCCAAAGACGGAGAATAGTGATCTGCGTCTTGATCCACAAGTCTGAAATCCGCGACGAAACTCGCATATGTTTCTTTCCAAGTGACGGTGACACCACCAGCTTTACAGTTAGCTCTTGTTTACCTCGGAACTTAGCGTGATGCTACGTCACAGTGCGGGGGGGAGGAGGCGGACTCACAGGCAGAGGAGCACAGATCCAAGCGTTTCACATGAGGTGACATCACCATCTATGCACAAAATGGCTATTATTTTAAAGGTTTTGAGTGTTGTATAGTGTATCACCCAAATTATTATCACGCATAATGTGCATAGGATGGACTGTGAAAAATGAAGAAAAGCGAAATATGGCATTTTTGAGGTTTCTCAGGTTATTCACTTTACAAACCTTTGTTCTAACAGCTATCTTCGCTTGGGGAACAACTGGCCCAGCTGTACCAGTCCACACGCGGCGAGGTGGTGCTTTTCTCGTGGGCCCAGTTCCTCAAATATGAATCACTCGGCTTTCTGGGCATCTCCGACTCGCTGGACATCAACCAATCCACTTCTCACTTGGACACATCGGCTAATGCGAACAGCAACGAAGGGGCCTCAAGTGTTGCCGTATTGGATGACAATATTTGTCTTTCGCTCTCACCAGGACAAGCGCTCCTGTCCTGTTTGCTGGTTCACGACGCTGAGCAGAGGGAGAGGGCTTTTTCCAGAGAGCAGTTTGCGTGCGGAGTATGTTTCGAGAGCTGGTTGGGGTCAAAGTGCCAGCAGGTGGCCGGTTGTGGGCACATCTTCTGCCGCAGCTGCCTGGCCGAGTTCTGCAAGGTTCAGATTGAGAGCGGCAACGTGAGAGAGGTGACGTGTGTGCAGGCGGAATGCAAGTCCACCCTCACACCGGCCCAGGTAACTACCACCTTAACCCTGACCCTGACCCAAACCTTGACCCAAAAAAAAAAGTTAGGGTAGGTTGTTGTTACTTGGGCAGGCCAAGTAACAACAACCTACCCTAACTTTTTTTTTCTCACTGTGTTTTTTTTGTTGGTTCCATGCCGATGCAGGAGGATCTAAGGACAGTATTGATCCAGGAGATTTATGGACATCTATTAACATTTATGGACTGCCACCTTAACTTGGGAGTTTGAGTACTGGGTGTGAGTCGGCCTCACCTCCACACACAGCTTGGGCTCTGGAACCCAACTCCTTTAGAGGGGATGGATGCTCCATTTGTCACTGGCGTTTCCCATGGGGGTGGCCATACTCATCCCATCTCAGCCGCCACGTGTTGGAGCTCTCCCCGGTAAATGAGAAGGTCGCGTCCCTCTGCCTCCGGGTGGGGTACAAGTCACTCACTGTTGTGACGGCCTATGAGCCTAACAGTAGTGCAGAGCACTTGGCCTTCTTGAAGTCCTTGTGAGGGGTACTGGCCGGTGCACCGGAGACTCCATTATTTTTCTGGGGGACTTCAACGCCCATGTGGGAAACGCCAGTGACACTTGGAGAGGGGTGAATTGGAAGAACGATCCCCCTGATCTGAACCATCCGGTTGCCCTTTGTCACCGGTTCTGCTCACTGCGGGGTTCCGGTTCAGAGGTCACAGAATTTAATCTCTGCTGTTTGCGGACAATGCTGTCCTATTGGCTCCAACAAACCAGGCCCTGCAACATGCACTGGGACGGTTTGCAGCCGTGTGTGAAGCGGCTGGGATGATGTGTCACGGGGGGAGGTGAATGAAGGAAGGACTCAAAATGCAGGAATGCCAAAAAAATAACATTTAATGAAAACAAAATAAAAGTCCAGGTTAAAACTCAAAATCCAAAGGCACAAGCAGCAACAAAACAGGAACAGACGTGGACAAGACATTGACAATACAATGGACTAGCAACAAGGGGAGAGAAGCACAGGGTACATATAGACACACAGAGACACAGGTGAAACACATCAGGGCGGGGCAGACAATCAAGACTGGGGAACAAGACAGGAAGCAAAACTAAAACCAAACCACAAGACCAATTTCAAAATAAAATAAAATTACAAAAATAAAATCCACACCATGACAGTACCCCCACTCCAAGGGACAGCTCCCAGATGTCCCCAAAAAACAAAAACACGAGCCAGGGAGGGTGGCGGGGGTCAGGAGGATGGGCCAGAGACAGGTACGGAACCGATCAGGGACAGGAGCTAAAGTCCAGTGGCGACCTTCCCGAGGGTCTGGAGAGTGAAGGAGCTGGCTCACCCCGGACGAAGACATATGCCCGGCGGTGACTCAGGCTGGGGGCAGAACCACCCCAGACGGAGGTAATGTCTGGCGGCGGCAAGAGTCAAGGGAAGGACAGGTCACCATTGAGCAGCAGACTGAGGATGTGAAGACCGGTGCACAACTCCACTGGCTACCTCTCAGCAGGACGGGCAGAGGGAACAAAGGACCACCCCGGACGGACATCAATGCCCGGCGGTGGTGCAAGATGAATAACCACCCCAGGCGGAGTTTCTTGCCTGGCGGTGGTTCCAGGTAACAGGTGTAAGAGGTAGGCAGCGAAGAAGGCAATCGGCACAAAAAAAATAAAGAAATAAAAAACCTTGTGGGAAAAAAGGCAATCCGCTGAGTCCATTAGTGGCTAGTCCATTCTGTCACGTGAAATTAAATGAGACCCAAAATGCAAAACTGCAAAAAGTAATGGATTTAATAAAAAGATGAAACAAATCCAAAAAACACCGGGAACGAGGACCAAACTAAAAGAGACTAGGAATGACAATGACGGAACAGGGAGTGAAGGAACACACAGGGCTAAATACAAGACTAACGAGACACAGGTGAGACAGATGAGGGCAGGGCAGGTAATCAGACAACAGGAAGTACAACCAAAGAAGACACAGGAATAACACATTTCAAAATAAAACAGGAAATAAACTTAAACCATGACATGATGAGGGATTGCAGGAGTGCTGCACTGGATCAAAGATAGTAAAAACACTTATCGGTGCTCATCCAACTCGTGGGTTTGAGAAAACTGAAATGGAGAAAGAGACACTCTGAAAACTGTGTTCTTTATCATTTTAACGTGTTTTGACAAAAGTCTTCGTCAGGGCAGAGGTCGATGATCGACTTTGTTTGTTGCTGCTGCTGACTCTGTACTGATTTTAAGGCGTTATGGGAACACCACGTGACCACGCAATAGTTACATAATACATAAATGAAAATACAATAAAATGAAATATCAGAGCAACAAAATAAGTCAGAAGTTTGTGTATCAATGACAACATACCCTCCTAACCCAAAACAGGTAAACAAAAATGATTAAGTATTATGAATAGGTGAGACTGTGATCAAAAATACAGGCAGAGGTGACATGGCTTGAGACAGTTAGACCATATGAAGGCATGTAAAATTTCTCCATAGCGAGATCAAACATTTTTTTCACATCTTATCTAACCCAAAACAGCAAACCAGTGCTGCAGAGTCTCAATTTTGTGGGGAGGTTATAGGAATGGCAAAAAGTCCATCTCCTCCAGGTTCGCTCTTAGAACATGGATCCAGTAAGTCTCTCTTTGGAGTAGTTTTTTGAAACGGTTTCCTCTGCTGGGGTCCTGTGGGACAACTTCAATCACCATGGCTTTTAAAGAGTTCGGTGTGCTGTGACCCACATACAGTATGTGTAATGTTTAGCCATAGGATACAAGTCATTATTTGTCCTTATGGCGTATTTGTGTTCAGCTAGTCTCTCTCTAAACTTTCTCTTTGTGCGTCCGATGTAGAAGCAGCCACATTCGCATTCGAGTCTGTAAACAACATGGGTAGTGCTACAGTTGGTGAAGCTTCTGCACTTGAAGAGTTTTTGGGTGTAAACATCCATGAACATATTTGTTCTTGTGGCGTTGTTGCAGTAGTTGCCGTTACCGCACCTGTGCATTCCCATCCTTTTTGTGAGCCAAGTTTCTTTTTTAGGAGTGGTGAGGTGGCTCCGGACCAGGCGATCCCTCAGGGTTGGTGCTCTCCTAAATGAAAAAATAGGCAAGTCAGTGAGAGCAGGCTGGAGCGTGGGATTGCTCAGCAAGATGTCCCAATTGTTTTTTTATAATGTGCTTTATCTCATGGCTGAGGTGGCCAAATTGTAAGGACATAAAAGTCCTTTGGGATGTTTGCGGTCTCAGACGTTTACTGAGAAGGGCCATGCGATCCAATGGGTTTACTTTAGTGAGGGCCTCATCCAAGACCCGTTTATGGTATCCTCTTTGATTGAAAACGATTGTACAGCTCAGTGGCTTGAGAATCAAAGTCAGAGGGCTCATCACATATTCTCTTCAATCGCTGGAACTGACAATATGATATTTGTGATTAATGGTTTAGGGTGAAAGCTTTCTGCGCGTAGTAGTGTGTTTCTGTCACTTAATTTGCGGTATAGCGATGTATGTAGCTCCCCCTGGTTGTTCATATGTCTTTGAATGTCAAGAAAATTGATTGATGAAGGTTAGGATTAGTGTTGTTAAGATAGTAGTGAAAATTCTTGAGCTCATTCTCACTCCCGTCAAAAATAAAAAACAAGTCATCAATAAAACGATCGCACCATTTAATGCAGTGCAGAAAAGGATTGCTTTCTTCCCAGAGTCCCATAAACAGTCCTGCGTAGTTGGGTGCATAGGATGTTCCATCGCAGTCTCCTTGATTTGGCGGTAATCCTGATACATAAAGATGTTATTTTTTAAGAACCAATTTGTAAGCGCCACAATGAAGCCTGTGGGAAGGGCTTTTGGTTCTGGGCTGCACTCTGAAATTGCAAGGCTTGTAGGCCCCCAGTATGGTCAATGCTGGGCTTTGGGCGGCACGGTGGCTGAGTGGATAGCACTCTCGCCTCTCAGCAAGAAGGTCCTGGGTTCGAATCCCGGCCGGACCAGGGCCTTTCTGAGTGGAGTTTGCATGTTCTCCCCGTGTCTGCGTAGGTTTCCTCCGGGTACTCCGGTTTCCCCTACCACTAAAAATATGTCCAATAGTTCTGGCATGCACCTCCTGTACTGGCGACCCCGCTCCCATCTCTGTGTGGAGTGAGAGACAAATGCCCAATATTAACAATTGTAAACCGCTTTGAGACTCAGATCTGCAGTGAAAAGGCGGTATATAAATACAAACTTACTTACTTACTTACTAATGCCATTGCCTCTATGTCCATCGCGGCTCGGATACAAGTGGCAAGAACAGAGTGAATTTCATCAAGTTGTTTTAGAACTTCTGTAGAGTCTTCAAGGTGGGATTTGAGTGAAAGCATGAGTGGTTTAATGAGATAATCAATGTATTTAGAAGCTGGCTCAGTAGGTAGAGAGTAGGGAGTAGGTAGAATGTAGCCGTTTTGGGATAAGTGGGCAATAGGTAGCTGCGTTCACTTTCAGACAGCCAGTGGTTGTCCAAAGGATTATCAATTAGTGCTTTTAGTTCCTGTTTGATGATTTCTTTGGGATTACATGGGATGGGTGTGTAATACTGTGTGTCCTTGAGCTGTCTATTGGCCTCTTCAATATGTTGTTGCTTACCCCATATACAGTAACAGTGGGGAGCCCCTTGTATGCTTGTTTTATGATTATATCCTGGTTGGACTTGAGGCAATGGAAATGCCTGTTGTTCACCACGACTCAGGTTGGGGGCTTGCTTCTTCCTGTTAGAGATAAAAAGTTTATATGGTCTGACTTCTTTATGAAAGCACTCAAGCATCAGTTGTTGTTAACAGGTAAAAATGTAGATTTCGGCTTGATTGGGGTGAAAGCAGTGGGGGCGGGTCCCAGCTCAAAAGTGGCCAAAATGACATGCGCTGACATGCTTGCAAAACCACCCCGGGCCGATGGGGGTTGTGAAATACTGTGAGCGTTTGGATACGCTGATAACGGATACGACAGTCAGCTGAGTCTTCCTCGGTTAG